GAACGCGCTGATTGGCCATCGGGCAAAGGCATGAACAGCTCTGTGTACTTCGAAACGAAGAAGGACCCGGCCGGCGTGGCAGCTGCCCATGTGCACAAAGATGCTCACTTCACACGCGCCGAGTACCACGCGTTGAAGGGCAAGACGACCAAGAACGCCGTGTACTATATTGGCTATAAAGTTCGGTTTGATGCCGTGGAAGCCGGGACCATTATTTTTCAGTGGTAAGTCATGAGATAGATTCAACGTTTGCTAAGTAATTCTATGGGTGGCTGAAGAAACTGCTAACGAGTGAATCTGTCATTGCTTCAGGAAGAACTACGACGGTCAGACAGTACCAACTGATAACATCCCCGCTGCGCTTGTTTTTAACAAGGATCCCGACGGAGTCGAGGCCCACACAATGTAATGTCATGACTCCTTCTGTGCGCCTCCTCGGCTCAAGTTTACTGACTCGTAGGATGCTCTGTAACAGCCGCTTCAACGCGCAGTCCGACCCTACCAAGAAAGGCGGTGCCACGATCTGGACCAAGACATTGACCATGGGCAAAACCTACAAATTCGGAGTTGTCATCGATACCCATGAGAATGGCTTCGTCCAACTGTATTTTAACGGCAATTTGGCCACGTTTATTCATCCAACTACAGGAGAGCACGTGCAGAAGCTGCCCGGAAACTACTGGCCTGGCCCCATCGAGAGTTCTGACCCCAAGGTTGGTCTATACGGCGCAAACACTAACAATGCCTGCGACTCGTATATCTACAACGTCGTCATTGGCACAACGCTGTCAGATATTGCTGCCGTTGCCGGGATTTCCAACTAGTTAGATTGGCATGCAATCCAGCTATCAACCCGGGTCTGAAAAGGCATAAGGATGGACTGGGGCTAAAGAAACCGTTCATGGGTTACAGGAGAGCGTTTGGCCAGCTGGGAGAGAAGATGTGTAGCTCATTTCTTACATCGTGAGCTTTTGGTTCTAGCTCAATAGATGTAATAAGAGAAATGCTATCGAAGATATTCTGGCACGCCTTATCCTCAAAGAGCAAAGTGATTTAGGCGTAATGAGTTCATATGTTGCGACTTGGGCTCCTAGGTACTAAGTGCTACCTACCCTGAAGTGGCGGACATAAAAGCACTTTTGACGCCGGAAAGTGCGCCTCTATCAGAATAAGGATCTCAAATCGGTACATATGTGTGAGCATAATTTTAATTTGATATTCTAATGATTGAATGGTTTGTCACGGAAGGTGTAATTGATCTCGACTTGCTGAAAGTGCAAACTACATATGTTTCTTTGAGTCCCTTGTTTGCAATCGAGTGACGCTCTTGAGAACGAAAGCAGAAATAGAAAGCAAGCTGGAATTTTGAGGCAACTAACAGAGACATTACTAGATTTTGAAATTGGTGATATTCGGTTTCTTTCCCCCCATTCTTCTTCCAACCAGAACTGCCATACTTATTCAAGCTTGGGCTACTGACGGAGGTCGTTGCGGGCCAAAAGTGCATGTACAAATCGCACTCATAATTATTCACCGAGGACAACGCGTGGTGTGCTATATCTTTTAGCCGTGGCAGGTTACTAAGCCATTCCTTGTCTCACTTCGCTCTGTGGAGCTATCCGGAAATCATCTTGCCAACACGTCAATGCGAGCGTCACCCATGCTCACTACCCGATCGACCATAGTATTTTTTGTGATAAGCATCTTTCAGCCCCGTCATTGAGCTGCGGTTCTGAGCACAAGGATCTAGGGATTCCCCTGGCTCCACTGTGGGCGGTCCTAGAGTAGAATCACATCGTTGGTGAGTGTTGTCCTGCTGTATTACGAGAGAGATTTTTGTCGAGTCATGTAACTTGGTTGGGCTGATAGGATTGGGTGAACCTTTGCTGCATTACCCGCTCTTCTGCATAGAAGCCTTTCTGCTTATCACCTACAACCTCTTCATATTGTGATCTTCGCCTGTGGCCGTAGCTAGTCTCGAGTCATGGAGACATTGCGATCAATAGTGATCCTCTTATTGCTGACTGGTTCAGGACCGAACTGCTGCGTGGCACCCAGATCGCTTCTTGCTAGCCACATGCTTGACTAGTCAAGTAGTGCCCTTGGAACGGGCGGCAACGGTGTCTCAGACCTCGTTGATCCTCCCCACTCAGTCAACCAAAGTCGCTTTTAGGTCCGCAAAAAGTATGCGTACGAATCACTAGCTGCCACAGCATGGATGGGACAGTGTGTAGCATCCAATTGTTGGGCTCGAACTTGAGCGCTATGCAAAGCAACCCACTGATCGATCGAAAATAGGAGCATAGCATTGCTCAGCTGGCTGTGGTGGTACGGTTGTGGTGAGTGAGAATGCATGGTCAACCCATGCAGACGGCAAAATAAGCCGCCCGCGGCGGCTGACCCATGTGGGAATCTCATCTCATGCAAGATCGAAGATTATCTCCTCACGGCCCCTGCTCCTTTCCGCTCAACGTGCCAACATTGAGCACTGTTGGATCCAATGTTAGCATTGAGTAGCTCTAGATATCGACAGCACTAGCCGGTTGGGTTCATGATGAATCTTTCGTCATTCGTATGTAAATCAGAACAACGGCTACCAAACATGTTGACGGCATCAGCTTTTCCTCCGGTCCTGCGGCTCTCAGGCGTAGGGCCGCATTATTAGTCTAGCGTGAGGCCATGGAACTTGTTTTCCCCCAACGAGAATAGCTCTATGCACCGTCGCCATGCATCATCCCGGAAGTCTTGAACTAAAAAGGGTTGAGACATAATCATTTATCTTGTTACTCCATGCTAACTAAGCCTTGCCTCATCGGCCGTGGGTCTGCTCTTCAGGGGCTTTTCCCAGGAAGTTCACTCTTGTGATAAGTCACAGCATCGAGGAGCCGATTCAACGTCTTTTCATTTACGTTTCCCCTTCCCACGAGAGGACGGTACAGAAGCAAGGCACTTCCTGATAGCCACTCAAGCCAGCACATCCCATCCGGCGACAGTCATGGCCCTCAGCAATGAATACGATTTCATCATTGTTGGTGCTGGCCCGGCCGGCTGCAGTCTCGCACGCGGCCTTGCCAATAGCCTGAGCCGACCCTCTGTTTGCTTGGTCGAGGCTGGCAGTATCAACAATGACGCCAGCAACCGCGTGATTGGAAACCTCTTCGTACAGAAGATGAACCCTGACCAGGCCAAGCTGTACGAAAGCAAGCCCCAGCAGGCTCTCTCCGGTCGCAAAATTGATCTGACCCGTGGCGCTGGCCTCGGAGGCTCATCGGCAGTCAACTTCACAGCTTGGACCGTTCCGCCTCGTGACGACTTCGAGGCCATCGCGGATGTCACCGGCGACCCTTCTTGGCGGTGGGAGAATGCTAAGCGACGCTACAAGGCGCTCGAGACGTATCATGATAAGCATCCGGAGGTCCCAGCTGGAACAGAGAGATATTTGAGCCCCAAATCCGCCGATCATGGCTATTCGGGGCCTCTCCATGTTGGGTTTGATAATAGGTGGGATAGCTACGCCACTGAGATGATGGACATTTGGTCAGATAACGGATATTCCATCAACCCTGATCTGGGCAATGGTGATTTCCTCGGAATTTCCATTTGCCCAAAGACTGTACATCGTGGTACTCGTGTTACGGCGGACAACCTGCTTTACCCGCTCCCCTCCAACCTTCACATTAAGACGGAGTCTCATGTACGCCGGGTCATATTTGAAGGGAAGCGAGCGACCGGTATATCCCTGCTTGATGGCACGGTGCTGAGTGCGCGCAAGGAAGTCATTCTCTGCGCTGGTGCCCTCGACACACCCAAGATCCTAATGCACTCTGGAATTGGACCGGCCGAACAGCTGAGCAAGTTTGGCATTCAGGTCATTGTTGATAGTCAATTCGTGGGTCTGAATACCAAGGACCATTACCACGTAGCCTTGAAGTACGGCCGGTCCGAGGAGTCGAACGAGGTCGCAGCCTTCTTCCGCGACAAGGCCCGCCAGGAAGCAGCACTCCGCGAGTGGAACCTCTACCGAACCGGCGACTTCAGTAACCTGGGAACGGCCATGAATATGGGATTCTTCAAGAACGATGCTGTTCTCAAGAGTCAAGAGTTTAAGAGTCTGCCTAAAGAGGAGCAGACCCGTCTTGAGATGCCCACTGTTCCCACGTATGAGATTGCGGTTCTGGGTATTGCTCCCGAGTACTATCTAGCCCCCGAAACGAGCCCTCCTCTGCTGTCCGTCCTCGTTTTCGTCCACAACTCTCAATATAATGGTAGCATGAGGCTTGTTTCAGATGACCCTACCGTGCCATTGGACTTTGACGTCGGCTTCATGGTTCATCCTTATGACCGACGTGTGGCTATAGAAGCAACCAAGGAAGTGTTGAAAGTTACCGGCAGCGCCGCCTTCAGAAAGGATGAGCACCCTACTCAGGCCGCCTTTGATGTACCCAAGGATGATAGCGACGAGAGCATTCTGGCATTCTGGAACAAGGACTGTACAAGCACATGGCATACTGTCGGTAGCTGTAAGATGGGCCGTCGTGGTGATGAGACTGCTGTGGTAGATACTCAGTTCTCTGTGAAGGGCTTCAAGGGTCTTCGTGTCGCTGATCTGAGTGTCCTGCCTGTTCTTGTGAGGTGAGTCTGAAATTGATTGTTGTTTGTGATGAATGGCTGTTGGCATCTGATACTAACGGAGAATTACAGCGCTCACACACAAACTGCCGCTTATCAAATTGGCATGCTGGCTGCCGAGAAGCTCGTGGCAGAGTACAGTCTAAACGGAAAGCCAGCTTTGTAATTGATTATAGCGAAATTCGACGATAATATTTGGCTTTTCTAGACTTGGACAACTTCTATACCCTATCTCGAATTCTACCAATGTACTAGTGCAGCGTTATGAGGGAGAATGGCTCGGCAATGAAAATAAAAGCACGAGTCTTTAGTCTACAGTCGATTTAAGTCCCGTTCCAATTGTAGTTTTGGCCCCAAGTGAAGTGAATGCCTTATTTATCCTCTGACGCTGGCCAAGGTTCTATCGTGACATTCTCCCAAATAGACTTCCAGCGATTTGTCTTCTTTTCGTACGGCTCCCTCTTTGCCAGCGCTGGGTTCGGCCTCACTATCATGTTGAAGAAGTCTGACAAGCCTCGAGGGGCATAAATTGTCCACTCCCCCGTGGCCTCTAAGCGCACGCCAATCATTGCACTTGTCGTATGCCAGGTATCGATGCCTGCCTCGACGCTTTTGTGAGGAGGGCAAGGGACGCCAAACTTCTTTTCGAACCATAAATGGACTCGCGCCTGGTTACGGATCTCAACTTCAACGGGTAGGTCGGCAAAAAGCTCCCTACCGGCTTGGATGACTGCATCTTCCGCTTCAAATGAGAGGTCTGAATCGTCAAAGTAGACGAGATCATAATCACGTATGCCCGTGTCAGGCGCAAACGACGACATGGTATTCCAAATGGTTTGGGAAACAGCCCCAGCGGCAAGATACCAGTTTGGCAGCTTCAAGGTTGCGGCTCGAGATAGAATAGTCATGAGTGTTGCATTTGTTGAAACGATTTCGCGAAAGCGTGTAATCTGTTGGTTCAGAGGGAGCTGCGCTGGGTTTGTATCCATCTTGAGACACACGCGAAACCGAGTCCGACTAAGAATGCAGTGTGTGATGTTCAAGGTCACGAAAGAGCGAGGGTGAATTAGGCAACAATGAGCGTCCTAAGGACTCAATCCCCGAAATTAATTTATATGCAACATTCCTGATAGCACGTGACCAGTTATCATACAGTAAACCAGGCCCATAATGATAACAAATAACACACATTTAGTATTATGATGAGGTATCCTCATAGTTGACGTTCTTAATTAGGTTAATATACCCATTTTTATTAAGAATTCCCTACTAAAAGTTGGGATTGTTATAGTCAACCAGATAAAGCCTTGGAAAGGCCTAGGAAATCTTTAATTTGTGTCGGCTTACCTAAGAAAATCTCGAGATTCTAATCATATCGCTAATATATCGCTAGCAAAATTACCTGGTGACACGTCTTGAATCGCTACAGCTGAAATATCGTTACGCCGAAGATCGTTATAGACCTGGATTACTGTATCTAGCTCTCCTCATCCTTATCCTTGATCTCATGCAAAATTATCCAGCATAGTGCAAATCGATACCTGACCAGACAGATTGGGAATGAAACAGTGACACCAAGAGAAATGGAGCAGACCTACAAATTGACCCCAAAGAAAAATAAATACTTCATACATCCTTATGCATCCACGAGGAGTTACGGCCTGATCCGGGGTTTATTCTTCGCACCAGTCCAGAGTTTACAAACCGATGATCGTTCATGACGATGGAACCCGGCTTGACCAAGCCGTGAAGTCAGACCGACACATATTGATTTCATGAACGTATGTGATGATTTCTACCCTGAGACTGCACGTCCTTTTCCCAGTTATAGCTTATTGAATATCGCTAGTCAATCCCCACGACCATCTGAAGTAGCTTGTGAAGTTCAAATCAATTTAACAAAATGATAGAGAGCCACCATCAGCAGATTTGACCTTCAATGAACACCATTGGATGAAATCTCCCGAAACGGTTGTTTCACGTGCCAAAGTAGCTCGCATGAACTGAACTTGTAATTGTTGGATGATAATTTCTCCCTGAATAGCTTCTCCGCGGAGACGCTTCCCCACGTATCAACCCGTCACCCAACCCGCCAATTAAATCAATCTTATGTACAGCTCACTCAACCTGATTCGGGCCAATTACTCTGTCACAACCATCACATGGGGTGACTCGTTAGGCTATCCGGGTCCACCCGGAAGACTTAAATGGCTACCCGGGCACTCGTATCCTTCCCGGAGGTTATCATGTCAGTAATGTTGTGACGAGGGATCAGGCCATTCACTTGTGTACTTCCTCGGACTTGCTTGCCCCCCTGTGCCGTTGCTCAGATGGGGAATCCCTGTGCTGTGGTATTGGACAAGGTATATAAGTCCAGATCCGCTGATGGCATTAGGAAGTTCAGATCATCTCTATCGAAGATAAAATCCTTCGGGACGGAATTGTCATCATTTACTACTCCGAAACTTGCTCTTCTTACAAGATGGCGACTGATGTAGCGCCTCGGTTCCCTTTCCAGCGAGCGTCCGCCCTTGAACCTCCAGCAGAATATGCCCATCTGAGGGCCCGCGAGCCTGTCTCCCGTGTTACACTCTTTGATGGCAGTCAAGCATGGCTTGCCGTAAAGTACGAGGACGTTTGTAAGATTTCAACGGACACGAGGCTCTCTAAGGTGTGTAAACACCCTTTCATAGGGGCGATTACGACAATATTATATTGGAACTAACAGAATACTAGGAACGAACGCGGCCTGGATTTCCGGAGCTGAGCGCCGGTGGAAAAGCCGCTGCTAAAAACAAGCCAACCTTTGTAGATATGGACAGCCCTGCTCATATGGATCAGAGGTGAGAACTTTTAGAAGCTGCTGATCGCAAATGGGAAATTACTAATGACCTGGATTAGAGGAATGGTCGAGCCCTTTTTTGTCAAAGAGAAGATTGAGGCTATGAAGCCCTATATCCAGAGGACCATTGACAGTCTGCTTGATAGCATGATAGCTAAGGGATGCGCCGAACCAGTCGACCTAGTCGAGAACTTTGCCCTGCCAGTTCCTTCATACGTTAGTCCAGTCACTTTCCTTATGACAAGAGCTCCTTGAACTAAAAGAATAATTTTATAGATCATTTACACCATTCTGGGGGTCCCATTCGCGGATCTTGAGTACCTCACAGCGCAGAATGCGATTCGGAGCAACGGCAGCGCAACAGCACAAGAAGCTTCGCTAGCGAACCAGTACGATATATTCTTCATCTCATAGTTAGCACCCTATTGATGCTAATAATTTTATAACCCTCAGGGAACTTCTAGATTACCTCGCAAAACTAGTCGACCAGCGCTTGGAAGAACCACAAAACGACCTGATCAGCAAGCTTGTGATTGAGCAGCTTCGTAACGGCTACATTGAGAAGTCCGATGCGGTGCAAATTGCGTTCCTGCTCTTGGTTGCAGGAAATGCAACTATGGTGAACATGATCAATCTGGTAGGTTTATTGGTCCCGCCAATGACCTCGGTAGCTAACATGTTGAACCAGGGCGTCGTAGTGTTGATGCAACACCCGGAACATTACGAAGCGCTGAAGGCAGATCCGTCATTAATTTCCGGATTCGTCCAAGAGCTCTGCCGCTATCATACCGGCTCATCGCTTGCGATGAAGAGAGTCGCTAAGGTTGACATTGAACTTGGAGGAAAGGTATTAATCTGAAGCACAAGCCCACCGTGACTCTAAAAATTCTAATTGAAATCATAGACGATCCGAGCGGGAGAGGGGATCATTGCAGCGAATGCATCAGCCAACAGGGACGAAGATATTTTCCCTAACCCAGATGAATTTGATATGCGTCGTGATTTCGCAGGCCATGATGCGTTGGGTTTCGGCTTCGGTCCGCACCGCTGCATTGCTGAACATTTGGCTATTGCCGAGCTTGAGCTTGTCTTTGGTGAGTATGCCATTCTTAAATTATGACACCAACTGCCAAACATAACATGACAGGGATGTGCTCGGTGATGAATACTGACCAATCTGTAGCTACGTTATTTCGAAGACTACCAAACCTCAAAGTTTCAATCCCAACTGAAGAGCTTGAATGCAGCCCTCGGCATAAGGATGTAGGCATCTTGAAACTGCCGGTGTTGTGGTAAATGGTTGCGGATGAGTGACCCCTCTCAGCATTTCAATTTGTCTTTGACAGGAATATACATGGTCATGTACAATAGAAAAGAAAACCCCGCTTTGAGAGAGAATGTAAAATTGCAATTGCAAGTGTAATTTGGAACTGTCGTCCTGGTTGTAATATCGAAAGCATGTACATATAAAAGGGAGTTCCGTTGTGTCCTCCAATATTAGTGATAACATTATCAGCAAGTCTTTAGGCGACGAATGAGTCGGCTCAAATCTTGTGCATAAAGAATACGCGGACAACTTCTCAAGATTCTCTACTCGTCGAGGAATCTGCTCGTTTAACCCGTACGACCGCCCCATCCTTGGGGTGTCCGGTGTCCGAGGTCAATGGGAACTCGTCGTCAGAATGGTGACGACTCTTGGGTTTGTAACCCGCCTTGGTATCCTGTTCCACCTTGACCTCGATCTCAGTTCGCCTATGGATTCCAATTCCACCATCATTTCGAGGCAGATCCTCGTCCGAGTTACCGGCCACAATTTTTGATATCTGCGCCAACGCCATTGAGTTACCCTGATTCCATGTGCTCTGTCGCTCGGCGTGGCTCTGGTTCCCGCTATATCCTCCAGTAGGATTCGAGCTGGAATTGTGTTCGGGGTAGAATTCGTCCGAGCCACCATTGCTGGCAAGTCGCGTGATGAGCTTGGCCATGGACATTTCGATGTTGAGTTTGACCATGTATGTAACAGGATGGAATTGGATAAAGACCGCCTTATTTTCTAGCCACATCAGGCCAATGAGCATGGCCTAATTTTGTCAGTGAGCAAACAATACTCCGACTGGAATGTATGACAGAATTTGTACTTACGTCCATGGCGATAGATAGAGCCATCAGTCGGGCGTTAAAAGATACCAAAGGTTTATACTTCTTCAAGTTGTGCTGCTTCACAAGACGTTGCTCGACAGTTCGGAGGAAGTACCAGTTCAAGAAACCATCAAGAGCCATGATGATAAATTTGGAGGCGCGATCCCAGTAGTTGTTTATGTCGACAAATCTAAACCAAGAGCGTTAGGCATTGGGGGGCAATGCAGGAGACGATTCCAACTTACAGCTGGCTCACTGGAGGATCGCGATGGGCGGGGATGAAAATGCAAAACACAGCAATATTCACGCAGGTCATAATCCCAGCAGTGGTCCATTTCATAATTGCAATTGTTTTCCTATGCTCGGCGATGATGGCGATTCGGTTGACGATGATCTGCATCAGCAGCTGGACTTGGAACACCCAAAAGAAGAGTACGAGGAACAAAATCGGAATGCTATAATAAATAACGTCAGCAACATGAGGACGAAAAGGATTGTGTAGTCCGGCACATACTCCGAGGGAACAACTTGATCAATCCAAAGCCAACCAGAGACCATCATCCCTATGTTGGCGACAACCTCGCCCCATATCATGTAGATGTACGAACTTCGAAGCGGGTTTCGATTTCGTCGAGTTTGTTTGGTAGCCTCCCATGTCGTCAAGAAACCAAAGCCGATGCTGAAGCCAAAGGCCATGGCAGCGACCGTAAGGTCACTCTTTGACTTGACGGGCGATACTGGCTGCGAATCCATGGCGGCTATGATGGCTCGTCCTGCACCTCGAACTCGAGGTAGTAATTGCACACGGGAACGAACAAGCAGGAACGATCACCACTTCGCCGAAACCTGGGACCCTGTAGATTTTTAACGCGCCAGATCTTGCACCCTAGCACGGGTCAATGAGCTCACCAGCTCATGAAGTGCATTGGACCTGACTAAAGAAGGGGGTATCCAGTCAAAGAGTGTCCACCGCTCGACCCAAGTGCAGGATGGATCTGGAGCTATTAATTGTCTTAGTACAGATCAAGGCAATGCCAGTGGCGCCATGCTTGCATCGCAATGTTAACCCCTTCAGTGGCTATGATTGGTTTGGACGAATCTTGGCTCCTGAGTACTGATATGGGGCGGAAAGGGCAAGACGCGAAGAATAGTGACCGAGATATTGGACAGCTCTCGCCGACTCCATAGGCGTGAATATGCAGCTAATCTAGCCCATTGTCCGATGGAACAAAGCAGGCTGCCGAAGAAACAAACTCACTGATCCTTCCGACGGGATATCGGGTGAGAAGATCGTAGGTGATCTGTGCGGATCAGTGGAACAGCCGATTCGGCCCTACTTAGCCGTGTTTGGTGATGAACCATCTAGCGTCTTGAGACTCAAATAGCTGCTCCATCATCACGAGCAGGCGAAGGAGAAGGAGACCGAGCTTTCGACTAGGGCAGCCCTTGTTTAGCAGACGATGCCCTATGTGAACTCTGATAAGGCAAGGGCACATCTTGATTTGGGATTCTTGTGTCATAGGGGTCTATTCAGATCCACGTGGCGGAATTAAGCTGATGCTAGCTTGGAAATTTTTGAGTTTTGGTGACACACCGTGGAAAGTCCCGCCTCCGTTCATCCGGCCGGTAATGCACCCGCGAAGCCGTCAGGTGTGGCTGGCAGATTGGGTAGCTCAGGGGCTCTCCGACATCTTGTCAGTAACCATAAGGTTTTTGAACATACACTCAACATGAGAGTAGTCTTTTCATCTAACAAGAGTTGCAGTGGCTCGATCGGCTGACCAGAGTCTGAGCCCTCATCAAGAAATGCCATGTTGCTCCCGAAGCTGGTTTTTCTCACTACGTGTAGATAAACCGGATCCCCCTACTATTCCAAATACGCACTGGGGGCAACGGCCCATGACAAGGCCCGCTTCGCAATGAATCATTCACAATGGGGTCGATACTGGTCAGGTTTGGGAATCACACTAAATAGATAAGGAGGTAGGGCCATCATTGTGCCATGCCCGAGAGAAACCGAACCCTTCAACCCATTGGCCATATTAACTTTTGCCACCAATAGTTTGATATCAAGCCAAAGATAAACCCACGAGGCAGGCGACTAGGTAACGAGTGGGTGTGGATTTTCTCAAGAAGCGATCATACTTAATACTGGTTCAGGGGCATTGCATGTCCTACTCCGCCCCTCCCATCGCCAGTTTGGTCCCAGGTGGCCGGTTATGACATCAAATATTGATGAGGCTTGAAAATTCGAATCTTAAATAAGTGGGAACGGAGAATACAATGGATCTTTACATCAGCTACGATAATACAGACAAGATATATCGTTTTCGTTGAATGAGAAAAACCATGCACAAGAGGCCCGATGACGTGGTTTGGAGCTCTGTAATCGTAGTCTTGCTAATTGAACTTGCCTCAATTCCTTCAACCACTTGCAAATCTGACGAAGCATCCGTTAGATTAGCTCTAGCACGGGGGGTGCCTTTAGCAAGGGATCATCGATGAGACTGCTGCAAGGAGCCCTGTGGTACCCTGTGGCAGACCGCGGACTACGTACTCTATCTACTTCGGTATGTCACGCACAACGTGGAAGCGCGCAATGCCATCATTCGCGATCTGAGCAACGAGTCCATGTTCCCAGTCAATGTATCCTTGCATGTCCTTTCGAGCGTTTTCAGTTCCTTCGTATGGGCGTTTGTATACATCAACAGGTTCTGACAACCATCGGTCCTCTGTCTCGAGGAGGTTGCCTTGGGATGTCCATGCCGCCGTTCCTCCGCTTAGATATAGGATCTCTCGCGAGAAGTTCGTGACAGCTCTGCGAGCGTACTCCACATTTGAGGCTGCAATTTTGCCATCCGGCGATGTTAGCACGATAGGCCCGGAACCAGGAGCGGATTGCAGATCACGGGCAAGTTCTGGGCCAGAAGCGAACCAGGCCCCAGGTATGTGGCCCTTTCGATAGACTGGGCTGCGGGCAAGATCCACGATCGTTGGCTCAGCAATTCCTTTGAGGTCATCGACTGTTACGGCACCTGACTTTGGTGCTTGCCAAGCGGCTTGCGTGGCTGAGGGGAAATCATCCGGCGCCGAAGCACCGTGTTCAAGCACATGGACATTCCACCCGAGCTGTAACAGCCAGCTAGCTGTCATGAGAGCTCTGACTCCATCAGTATCGTATAACACTATCCGGGCGCCTCTGACGCCAACCCATTCGTCAGTAGCTTGGACCAACTGGCCACCGGGAGCAGAAAGGAAGCCCTTGGGGTGGCCCTCGTCATACTCTTTTGGATCTCTCACATCCAGCAGGTACAGCGTTCGTGAGTCTGCTGCCGCTGCAAATTCCCTGACTTTCTCTACACCAACAACGGGCACACCAACATGGTTAGCCCACCTTCTCGCATGCTGTCGCGACTGTTCCACAGCTTCAGATGACGGCTGCCCGACTCGCTCAATTCTGCCCTTGTCCAGTTCCAAACCCTCGAGCGTCCAACCGATGGTACCATTTTCGAGAGCAACGACTCTGTTGGGAATACCCGCATTGACTAGAGACTGAGTACCAACGATGCTTCGGGTACGGCCTGCGCAGTGGACAATAACGGTAGTATTCGCGTTCGGAGCTGCCTCAAAGACCCGGTACAGCAATTCCCCTCCCGGACAGCTCTGCCCCCGGGGAATGCTCATGGTGTGGTACTCCTCATACCTCCGAGAATCCAGAACCACCACGTCACTGTCGCCATCTAGAAGTTGCTTGATCTCACGTGCAGGCAAGGAGGGCGTGTGACGGATGGCCTCCACGAGCTCCCCGAATGCTTTTGAGGGCACGTTTACGTCCCGGAACACCTCACCCACCCGTGCATAGCCCGACAGACCACCTTCTATAATAGACACATCAAGATAGCCTATGGTTTCAAGCCGTGCCACAGCACGTTCGGCGTAGCCCTCCCCATCATCGTAGACAACGATTGGCACAGAGAGCCGAGGAACCAGAGCTGGTACTCTGACCTCCAGTTCCGATACCGGCACGGTAACCGCGAAAAATGGATGAGCGTCTGCATAAGGCCCTTCTTCTCGGACGTCAATCAAGGCCACTTCGTCTTGGTTAGCCCAGTAGCGACGCAACGTCTGCGCGGATACTGTTTTGGCCATTGTGTATGTATATTTCCGTGAGTGAAGGGACGCGGGGCTTTTGTCGATATTTGGTTGCTTGGCGGGAAGCTGACAGAGGTACGGGAATATACTCTTCTCAGATGGTTCACTCCAGTCTGCAGACAAATTCACCGGAAATTGAGGACGCAGGCCGAGTAGACTCGCTCTAGCCTTTTGATGAATGCTTGCGTGTGTTTGAAGTTCCCCAGACGTAGAGGTCGCGGACATTTATTACACACCATAACCCCGCTAACGCTCGTCATGCCTCCACGTGGTATTTGCTACTACTACTATATTATCCGAAATGACTGAGACACCCCTCTACCTAAACTTATACTAGTTAAAGCTGTTACCTACTGTACACCCTCGGACAAAAACCTATTGCAGCAACGGCATCACAAGCATGTTCAGATCAAGATTTCAAAAGGTCCACAGGTTCGAAATCGCCGATCTCTACCCTAGATATGATATCTTCGCGACGGAGAAGACGGATAAATCTAGGATGGAATAATGGAGCTACTGGATGGCAAATGATTGACGCCGGGCGGAATGAGATGTGTCCGCATACCACAGGTTCCGGGGACTGTCGACGGAAAGAATATATAGGCGTGAAAACGGTCACATTCCCCGATATCGTGAATTACGCATACTTGAATTCAAAGAATATTCATTTTTCTTTTACAACTGATGTTCACAGCCTCGACGAACCGCATTTGTATGAATAATACAAGCCAGCTATCGAGGTCTTATGTTGTCAAAAGCCAATGGGAAACGCAAAGAACACCCTATCTGCCTTTGTTTGCCGCACTGCGGATATATGGCTCAAGTGGAAAAACCTCAGTCTCCGGCCGCACGCCTTTATAGATCTGGTCCCATCTTGGTTGGAGAACCTCAGGAGTGTGCCAAGCATTTTCAGGATCGCGTAGCCATAGACGGAGTAAATGGCGCCTGTACAACAGAGTGCTTGTTAGCTGACTGACTATATTGCGTCTCTTTTCTAAGAATGGTGTTCGACCTACTGCTTCTCCCCCTGATTGACAAAGCCATCTCGGGCGTGAAAGATGTTGAGGTTGTTGACGTATTGAATGTCGCCTTTTTGGAATTCAGTATTGACGCAAAACTTCTCCCCGACGAAGTGCAAGGTGTCGAGGGCCTCAGCCTGTGCCTCTGTGATGGGTGGAATATCCGCGCTACGAGGAAGCGCGCCAAACCCTACGAAGTATCGTCGCCCATATTGTAGAGAGACTCGCTGGGGGGCAGTTTCAGTGGCTGGTAATAAGTGAAGAAGCGGTCTTTCCATCCATTGCTTGTCGGCTTTTTCGAATCTAGAAATGGCATTAGCTAACTTATTACGAACAGGCAGCGCGCTTTTAGGTTGACATACACTTCCATGTCCCACGACTCAGCAAGAGTATGAATCAAGTCTGGTCGGGTCCGGGCGATCTCATTATAGACTGTCCACGTGCTTGTCAACTTACTAGCACCTCCTTCCTTGGCTGTCTCAAGAGCAAAGAGTGCAACGATGTCTCCCGAGTCGGTGTGGAAAACCTGCTTGTCGGTGGTATAGGCAGGACTACCGATGATTTTATTCGGGTCAGAACTACTAAGATCCTTTACGTGTGTAAGGACTACATCTGCTGGCTTGCCGTTGAATTTGTGATCTTGCCGGCCTCGCTGCGCAGCAATATGGGCGGATATTCCTGTGTAGATTATGATGTTGTCCTCTCTGGTGTGCTCATCGACGTTGACGCCGCGGATGACAAAGAAGCCATGGCCACTATGTAGCTCGTGGGACAAACGTCGAAGCTCAGAGTGGAGAGTTGGGAGTGGGAACGTGTCGGCGGTAATGTGACCATACGACAGACTGAGAGCTGTTGATTTAGTGTCAGAAAGCTTTTGTCCCATTTCATTTCTATGTTGGCTTTGTGTGAAGGACACCGACATTTGAAGTGAGATACGGCTCGGTCAATCTCAGCTAGCTGCTTGGCGTTGAGAACATATGTCCAATCATAAGACTCTGCCAGAGTCGCGCCCTGCCAGACTACATCCCCAGTTAACTGCTCTGGAAATCCTTCAGGGACCTTAGAAGGAAGATTGCCCGCAGCAAGGCGTCTGGCAGCACGGGCCTGCCAGTTGTCGTAGTTAGGGGCATAGTTGATCTCAGGTTGCCCAGGGGGAGGTTGGGCGGCCGGGGTGACCCAGGTGACTGTCGTGGTCGACATGATAGTGGCAATAGTAAGTAAAGTCTTTCGATCCAGGCCAAGAGAGTTAACCTCGATAGATATTAAGTAGACTATAAGTCTAATACTTTAGATGGTGTCCAGACGTTTTTATGCCCCAAAGTGTGCCTCAATCAAGATCGTTCGATAATAATTGGATTGTACATGCTGACCCCGGACTACCAGTGCCAAGAAAGATCGCCCGGAGGAATACGTGCTTTTATGCTCCCATTGCACCATTTATTTAGGTGTAAGCCGGAATGAAACGTGCTTCCACTGAGCCATTGCAGCATGCGTCGAGGTCCGCTTTTTAATCATTTATGGCTGGGTTTCAAATTACATGAGTTGCTGAAGAAGCAGATATGATACAGAATGACATGGCTATATAACATAGCTTCTACCATTCTGCTGTTTGAGTGCCTCAATATCTCCTCTGCTTTCTACAAGCATCAGGATCGACCTAATTTCATATTCCCGACAATACAATGGCTCCAAATAGAGCCAGCGAAACGGTGGTCGAGGCATCGGCAGAACGGGAATCGTCATCTCACGTCGACGAGCTCAGCTTGAAGACGGCCCAGCGCTCCGGAAAAGCCGCCATCGCCGCCGACGGCTCGGGATTATTCGAGGACGAGTTAACTCGAGAGGCTGCGCTTACGGCCCTGACTGCGGAAGAAGAGAAGCGGCTCCTGCGAAAAGTCGATTGGCGCCTGATACCACTGCTCTGCACGCTATACCTCGTGAAGAAGCTGGATGAAAACAATGTGGGCACTTTGCATCTGAAAGATTAAAATCAACTTCCCTTACATTTGCTAGGTTTCCAATGCCCGAATCATGAACAAGGGCACGGATCGTAACATCCTAACCCAGCTCGGTATCACGTCTGACCAGTTCGGCATGGTCACGGTTCTATACACTGTGAGTTGTACAAGTCATCTGCGCCAGCTTACCGTTTATCCAAAATCTGACCAACGCAACATAGGTGCCTTACATTGTGGCCGAAATCCCCTCCAATCTGCTGTTGAAAAAGTTCAAACCATCACGCTGGCAATCTAGAATCATGTTCTCATGGTGGGTGGCTTTTCCTAACAATATGTCTTTTCGTGACGACTATAATTGCTAATCCGTTGCCAAGGGGTCTCGTCACTGCTTGTACCGCGGCAGTCAGCAACCTCGGTGGTCTTTACGCTTGTCGCTTTCTTCTTGGTTTGGTAAGTCACCAGAATTTAGCACAGTCATTTTGCCTCCTTGCTTAGCCAAAAACTGACATTGCATCATAGACCGAAGCGGGAATGTTCCCCGGTATCATTCTTCAACTATCCTACTGGTATCGGCCTGACGAAATCGCTGTTCGATTGATTTGGATATGTAAGTCAACCAGGCTGTGCAGAACCATATGTAACGTGGGTAGCTAACAAACATCAAGACTCTTTAGGTAATGTTGCAGGTATTATCGGTGGTCTTTTGGCCTATGGCTTCCATGCTGTTTCGGGGGCCGGGGGACTGTCTGGCTGGCAATGGTATATTCACACCCTTTGATTCCCCAAAGCTTCACGTTTCAGTGCCACTAACAATATCTGAAAGGCTGTTCGCCATTGAGGGGGCTGCCACTGTGGCTCTGTCCATCCTTGTCTACTTTACCCTCCCTGATTGTATGTATAAAATGTCCAGGCACCCTCTCTTTGTTTCACCTTTGTACCCAAAAGCAGCACAGCTGACATCATCACCAGTCCCTGGTAATACGAAATGGCTATCCCCCGTCGAGAAAGCGTTCCTTCAGGCCCGCCTGCCACCCAACGCCCCCCGCTCATCAGAGAAGAACTTTGTCTTTAAGGAAGTTCTGCACAGTCTCCGTGACAAAAGGCTTTGGCTGTTTACTCTCAGCTGGGCTCTGATGACGAGCGGAAAGAACGGTATCGATTTCTATCGACCTACTATCATTTCCAACATGGGTTTCAGGTAGGCTCGTTCGAGGATCATAATGTGAGGGTTTTGGCTAACTTCCTTTGCTTTTTTTTTCCAGCGATATTGCTACTGCCCAGGTCTTGAACATCCCTACGTCTTTCTTGGCCATTATCCTGATCCTCGTCTTGGGTTACGCGTCCAACACAGTAAGGATCCCAATTCCAATCTATCCTATTGGGTGCACAATCGTCATCATTGCCATGTACTCAATCCTCGTGGTATATCCCAACGACATCGGCGTGTATATTGGAATGATGATTGGAATTGCCTGTGGTACCGCCTGGTTCCCGTAAGGCCAAACTCCCCGCCCCTGTCTACCTTACTTTACGATGTGTTCCTAACACTTTATTCTATAGTCTTATGTGGCCATGGCGCGCTCAAACCGTCAACGGAGCCACCGGCTCTGCGTTTGCGATTGGATTTGTCAACAGTTACGGACAGGTTGGTGATGCTATTGGGCCTCAGATGTTCCAGGAAAAGTACGAGCCCCGATATCAACTGCCATTCGGTCTCTCCATGGCCCTTATCGCTCTATGTGGCATTGTGAACGGAGTGACATGGTGGGTTACTCGGCGGACGGAGAGTGACACGCGGAAGCACAAGCTGGCTAGGCGGAAGGCTAGGGAAAATAACGAGGCGGTCCTCGACGATGTTCTGGACCGGGACTTTAAACCCGCATCGCACAGCGTTTGATCAGTTGTAGATTCTATAATGGATCAAACTGAACAAGTTGAAGGTCAGCCTTACTCCTACTGGTTCCGGCTGAGGCTACATCAAGATGAAATGAAGAATAGAAACAACCGGCTGGCACCATTCATGTAGACATCTATCTTTTTTGCATCTTGATTCTTCCCTGTGAAGTATACGCCCATGAGAGCTAATCGAAAGTTCAGGTCCTATATTTGTTCAAGATATGGAAGCACCACTCACTTCAAGCCTATGGCGCCCACATCCGATACCCCGAGATACACTTCTCGGAGGTCCCCAAAGTTATATCTGTCGGTACTATAGTGTGATTAGCAAGCTAGTAGAGTACTAATGCCATTATCGAAGCTTAGAATCGCATGAGCTCCTGGCAGACCTGCTGGATGGCGTGATTCAGAAAACTATCCGCTGTGGAGACGATTGGATTCCCTCTCCGAGAAAACTATCCGATGCTGAGGTAAAACACTCCGAGAACGTTGATTGAGCGGTTGCATTCACCCTACCCAGTAACGTTAGGCCATAAACGTAATCTTCCGAGAAGATCAAGTACAAACTCTCCCCTGCAGTGCGCAGTTACGAAATTAGTTCTATCGGGTCGATGCCAATACCTTAGCTTACACCTTTTACCTCCAGCTTTAGGTAGTATTGTCTTCAGTCCTCTTCTTTTAAAAGAAAAAAATTGAAAAAAGTTCTGTATATTTCTGGACATTGTGAGCTGTGCTCCTGGACTGAACAACGATCCACACAATCATAAGACGCAATGGGCTCATACTCACCACGCTTGGCTCCGAGAGCCTCTAGTGAACCGTACTATGACCTAGGAAACTACAGCATCAAAGTCAGTACTACCTCTACGGAAGCTCAGGCATGGTTTAATCGTGCTATGCTGTGGACATACTGCTTCAACCATGACGAAGCAATTACGTGCTATAAACAAGCAATCGCTCACGATGAGGACCTCGCATTGGCATATTGGGGGATCTCTTTTTGCTCAGGCCCCAACTACAACAAGACCTGGAGGCTGTTTGACGAGAAAGACCGAGTAGAGGCTATCAGCACATGCTATACATACTCGCAACAAGCTCTGCAAAGGACATCGAACGCAGCACCATGGGAAAGGGCTTTGATAGAAGCATTGAGGTCTCGCTTTCCTGACAACAACCCCGACCGTGACTTGGGGGCCTGCGACAGAGCATATGCCAACGCCATGAGGGAAGTGTACCAAAGATTTGGTCAAGGAGACTTCGACATCATCACACTCTTTGCTGATGCACTGATGAACGTTGCGCCTCGCAAGCTATTTGACACCGCCAACGGCCTGCCCATCCCTACAAGTCCTGTGTTCGAGGTAAAGGACCTTCTTGAGGGGGCTTTGCAGATGCCAGGAGTTGAAAAACATCCCGGTGTCGCCCACATGTATATCCATCTCATGGAGATGTCGGCCACTCCCGAGGCTGCTCTCCCAGCATCTGACATGATCCGCGATCAAGTTCCCGATACGGGGCACACATACCACATGCCTGCACACATCGACGTACTCGTCGGTGACTATCGCCGAGCAGTTGAATACAATCTCAAGGCCACGATTGCAGACGACAAGTACTTTCAGAAAAACGGTGCCTTGACCTTTTATAGCTACTATCGGCTGCACGACTATCATTCTCTCATATATGCTGCTATGCTGGCTGGGAAGTCCAAGGCAGCACTTGATGCAACGGAACGTATGGAAGCTACTATCACGGAGAGTCTCCTCCGCGTCGAAACCCCGGCCCTGGCCGTTTGGATGGAGTTCTTCAAATCTGTGCGCGTCCATGTGTACATTCGCTTTGGTATGTGGGCTGAGCTCAAGGCGCTCAGGCCGCTAGAAGACAAGAGGCTGTACTGTGTGACCAATGTCATGAGACACTACGGCAAGGCCATTGCGCATGCTGCGACAGGCGAGGTAGAGGAGGCCGACAAGGAACATGAGTTGTTCAGAGAAGCATCTAAACTAGTTCCGCCAACACGCCTTGACTTCCCTAACAAAATCACAGACATATTAAAGGTTGCTTCAGCAATGCTAGACGGAGAGATTGAATACAGGCGTGGTGACTACAAGACATCGTTTAGGAGACTGCAAGATGCTATTTCTCTCGAAGACGACCTGCTCTTTGCAGAGCCGTGGGGATGGATGCTACCAGCCCGGCATGCATACGCCGCGCTGTCCCTGGAGCAAGGACACCTCGAACAGGCTGCCATTGCATATGCGGAGGATCTTGGCCTTCAGCCCACGCCAAAGCGGGCTCACCAGCATCCAAACAATATATGGGCACTCCACGGCTACCATGAGTGTTTACTTGGGCTCCAGCGCGATGCGGAGGCTAATATAATTCGGCGGCAGTTGACACTTGCTGCAGCAGAAGCAGATATCAAGATTACATCGTCATGTTTTTGCAGATTTGGGGAGTTACAGAAAGGTAGCAAAGTGAATGGTAAAACCTGTCATGGGAAGAGGAGATCTGACATGATTTGTCAAACATGACTTTACATAAGACCCTGGGAAGATTCAAGATCAAGACATGATGTAAAAAATGAAGTTAATCCCAAGTTACCTCCCAACCATGTGTCTTCTTTCTTCGGTCAACCATCAAGTCACAGCATCCTTGAATTGTTTAATTTTAGACCTCACCTCGTCAACAATCTGATAGCAAGGCGTCAACACCCTCGCTGCCGGGCTCTGCGGGCAGACATCCAACAGATCAGGAGCAGCAGCATGGTCCTTTTCTTCCTTCAAGCAACGTCCCTCCGGGTCCGGGCATGCCTCGTGGCCGACAAGATGGCGATTATGCTGCCTCACCGCAAATTGTCCGCCCAGGTCCGATAACCTCTCTGCATCGCTTCTCAGACCATCCACGACAAGGTCGTAAAACTTATCGCTACTAATCTTGAAGCCCAGTGCCGAGCTGGCATCCACACCAGGCATGAGATATACCGTATCGTCCATGCCCCTCTCTGAAAGACCACTACAGTGGTCCTTGAGCCATCTCACGTATTTCTGATACCCACTTGTGACCTCGAGTGACAGCCGGCCGAGGAGGAGGACGTTCTGTAGAGTGTTGCGCGGTGGGCTAGAAATATCGTAGCAAATGCCACACTTCAGGAGCTTCTCAACAAGGTCGGCACCAAGGCGGAGAGTGCTAACGGTATTGTGCGACACAGGGCAACGTTTCAATAACCGCATGATTTCGAAGACTCGTTTAGCACAGTCGCAAGCCTCCTGCTGCTGCGGCGGTGGCGCATCCGGCGTGGCTGATGCGTCAGAAGACCGCTCCGCCGAGGCCCTACCGTCAATATAAGTCGACAGACAGGCTTGGAAAGGGTCGAGAGGCAACGAGTCCAGCTGCTCACTTGTGTTGAAATCAAGAAACGGCGGCAACCGTCCAAATTCATCATAGCGTAAGCCCAACTCGTCGGCCTCACGTAGAGTCCATTCCTGCTGCGTAGGCGGCCATAAGTCGGTCGAGCCACTGGTAGATACTAGAGATGCTTCAGCAAAGGCCTCCATTGATGGAGTTTGCTGTGAATGAAGGTCTGAGTCTTGCTGGTATGAACTTCTCCCGTCGCTCTGGTGATCACTTGAGCTATGGGTCTCCAGCGCAGGGTCTTGTCCATCTCGGCCGTACGTTTGCTGGATATGATGTGGATGCTGTAGCAGGTCTCGAGTCTCAATCAGTGACCATTTGCGAGGTCTTCCAGGTATGCCTTTATCATGAAACTTGCAAGTGAGACCGAGCTTCACGCATCGGGAGCACCCTGTAGCCTTCCCTGAGCATCTAAGTTTCCGGGCACCTAACAACCAGTGAGCAGGGATCTATTATCAGCATTGCATTGCATTGGAGGGCTCCTACGGGTTCGGGTTTAAGCGAGGGAGAGGGACTTACGACACGCTTCGCAAGATTGTCGCTTCTGTCGTACGGCGCTCATTACGGGCGGTCTCGGTATTTCCACTATGTGGAAGTATTTAATTATTCATTAAGGCCTTTCTATCGGGTCTTTAACCTGCACCAGCGTGTTTTAACGTGGCAACAGGAGGAAATGGCGAATGCAAGCGGGGTAATGTCGTGATGGGGGATCAAGGTTGTTGGAGGGGAATAAAGCAAAATGCTCCGGGATTTAAAGATTAACTCATATAAAGGGCCCGGACTAACTGGAATAGTCTAATTATATGATAAGAGGGGGAGCCCGTTTGGCCACCGACACTCTCCAAATTCACCCATTGCATTTCATGCCCAAAACTGCACAATCGGCAGCGTCCTTAGCATATGAAGAATGTACGAACGTCACTTTGAAGCGAAGGAAATAGATTAACTATTTGAATGTTGCATACTGATGCGAATAACGTAGTCTGCCCTGTGTCAACTTGGGTTCAAACGCTATTCCCTCCACCAAGGCCCAATGTCAATTAAAGCAATCAAGAAACCAATGATAATCCAACTTTCTTCATCCAACACATCACTATCTTAAGCCGCCACTTGAGGTCGACTTGTTCTAGTCTTCAACTTACAGACCAATCCCCTCTGTACGGCAAACCTAGATAGACAGTGAGAACCGCTTCAAGCATTCGTCGGAGGTGCGGGGATGCTTACCAGTAATCGACAGTCTGCAGATCTTTCTGTGGTGTTACCAGAGTGATGTCGAATTCTCGGAACATTTGAGGGATAATCTTTGACATCTCCTATACAAAATTCAAATTAGCCAAACATATAAGGGTCGTAAGGGGAACCGCTTATAAGGGCAAGGGATCTAGAGGGAGCCTTACCATCATCGAAATGTGCTTGCCGATGCAGCTCCGGCTTCCTGCGCCAAATACCAGAGATGATCTCTCCATCTCCTTGAGTTGCTCCTCGTCAGCTTCCAGCCACCTCTCTGGGCGGAAAATATCCGCATCCTCCCCATAGATGCGCTTATCACGAGCCACTACCCAGGGGTTAATGCCGACAATTGTGCCTTCGGGAATAAATGTGCCGCTGATGGTGGTGCCACCCTTGGGCACATGTCTCTCCATGATCAAACCGACACTGGGATGGATGCGCATGGCTTCCTTGAGAACCGCTTGCAGATATGGCAAACGACGGGCCTCGCTCTCCTGGATGGGGTCGGACAGCTTCCCTGCCGCGTCCCATTCATCAAGTTCGCTCTGTAGTCTGTTATAGCAGAGCGGGTTGGTGATCAGATTGTGAATGATGGCTCGCAGAGCAATCGCTGTGGTATCGCTGCCGGCAAGAACGTTGGTGCTGGTGTGGTTCACAATATCAGCATCCTCGAAGGCGCCGCCATTGTGACCCCCCTTGGAGCCGGCTTTGACCATCTTCTGGAAGCGGATAAGGAAATCGTCGCGGCCCTCTTCAACATTCTCTTTGCTTTCCTTCATGCACTTGACCGCGAAATTCACAGCCGGGTTGAAACTCTCAATGGCCGGCATGATGTAGGGAAGAAGGGGGTTGCCGACGAGCACATTGTGGAGGTAGGGAATCTGGCCGATGACGGCGGCGTAGACGAAGAAGTTTCCGAGCGTGGCGATCATGTCGTCGATGTCCCTCGACTGCTCAATAAAACCTAGTGTTTTGGAGAAGGTGAGGTTTCCGATTACATCAAAAGCATACCATCTAGAAGCAGGAGAGTTAGTCGCAACGTTCACCAAGCTGGGCACTTTCGATAAGGAATAGAAGATCAGGGCGCTTACTGGAGCCATTCACCGAGGTCAATGTTCTTGTTGTCTTTCTCGTGTTCCCTAAGCTTGCCCATGAAAAGTTTTGATACGTGGTCAATCTTGAATTCGAGGTCCGTCAAGGCCGCCATACTGTAAACATGGCCGATTGGCCGCTTGATTCGGGCATGAAATGATTCATCACGGGCTGCAAACACATTGATGAGTCTCTTCCTCTCGAAGCGGCCCTCCTGGATCGGGTAGAATGCGGTTTTAGTGAAGCCTCCGTTGACGCCGTAGATGATCTTGATGGCGGACGCGTCTGCTATTGAAATCTGGTTAGGTCCAATACGGACCAGCGGCCCGTATTTTTCATGCAGGGCAATTGCTAGAAAGTCTTGTCAGCACCCATAAGACCTGGGATTTGGACAGAGTAGCTCACATTGGTGCTGAAAATCGCCCTTGTAGACTTGCCATGCTCGCCACAAACCGGTATATCCTGCCCAATACGGTCCAGGAATGGCTCTTACGTGTGATGCATATTTGTGTGAAAGGGCATAGAGAAATACCGCTCCGACGGCGATGTAAAGCAGATGGGGAGCAGTGTAAGTTTCGTACAGATTTGCCAGCTCGGCCAGCGGCGAGCCCGCGAGGATGCCCATGGTGTCGATCGCCAAGACGAGAACCGAGTCCGCTGAATTCGTTGGAATAGTATTCTGCTTCTTTCAAATCTTGTTCACGGAGAGTATGCAGCGTGGTTTGTATTCGCCGTGGTAAGAGGGAAGGGACTGCATATCAGGTCTTTTATATGGCCAGCCGGGCAGATGGGAGCCGGCGTATCTTTCCACCTGTCTCCCAATCACAGCACATCTGATTACTTACCCCGCATCCCCAGCTTCATGCTGGCCATCCCCAGGTAGCGTGGGGATGTGGATATCTGCAAGAGTCATGCTTGTCGGAAGCGACTGTGAGAGCCTCAGATTAGCTACCCGACAACAACCATCCGACATGCCCATGCCTGGACTTCGCTATAAACAGGAATAGTCCTGCGGGGCACGCTCCTAGGTCATCCTTGGTGCCCTCATCTTTCCAACTGGATAGGACGTTTTTGACAGCCACGATGAAAGACTGGGACTGATCAGCGAACCAACGCATCAAACACTCCCGACTAGCGTGTCTTGGAGCCGCCGTTCGCTATTCCGACAGTTTAGAACCCCTGATGCCGCCGACACCATATTTCGTCAGGGGAGCCTCACACAGCAAGAAGCCATTGTTCGGTATTGTCATGTCGAAGCTTGGAGGTATGTAAAAGACGGCTATTGTAGAAGGCAACAAAGAAGCTGTGCCACGGAATATGCCTTCTCCAAAAGATTCTACGGACTAACGTAGTCTGCATGCGTCTCGAATCGGGGCGGGTGATCAAAGGGGGCGGAGGCAGCGGTAAGGCGATCCGCCGCTTGGAGATGCGCACTCACGGCTGACGGTAACCGCCGCACAGTGTTGGAGCTATATTTTGTTCCTTTTCACAACTCCATCTGTTCTTAAAATGTGAACAATGAGGTTTTTGGAAAACAGAACGCTATCTAGATATTTACCACTAAATCTTTCTATTTCACTCAAAGGTTGGCTTTCGCGAAAGGGAAGTGAACAAAGGCGGCGTTTAGTGAGAACGCACTGTAAGGGGAGCAAGACTATACACGAAGCTCTGCCGAGCGGGAAAATAGAATAATGAGACAAATTTGTTCCTCAGATCGTGCTACTTGATTCGGGTTAGAGGGATCTGATGCCCAACGCACCGTGTCCGAAAGTACTCAGACCAACAATGAACAAGAGCGTTTTTGGGTCTCATAGATATTGGTTAGCGTAAGCGCACCTGTCGGAACGTGGCGCAACAGAAACAAGCCAGGAGTTCCGGGGTTGCAATTATTCCATATGATGATATTGTTCTCAGTGGACATATATTAGTGAACCGCCAGTGTTCAATCAGTCGTGTGGCCTTACGTTGAGTTAAGCTTGCTCCAGCAAGTCTTACTACGTTGCAAGATTACCAAACCTTTAGTTTTGTCACACAGGATTTGTTCCAAGTTTAGTATCCCACAGAGATAGATTTCCATTGTACACTCCCAATAAAAAATCTAACGCGCCTCGGCTATCTGCGGCACAATAAACGACAAATTGACAAGCCAGTGAGAATACCCGAACACCTCCAATTCACATCGCTTTGCGGCACAGCGAGAATATCGAAACAAACTCGGTTGCTTTCTGTGACTCTTCACCCTCACACAGCCCCTCTGTAGGGTGGCAATCTCAATGCCATTCCGTGTATTTCTCGCCCAGAGGTTTAACGTCCTTTTGAATATCCACCACCAGGCCCTCCTCGGCAAGCTTCTTCTCATAGTCGGCCTGCCACTCGATGCAACGCCTTCTCTCACCCGGCGTTGGCCCATTGCTACCGAACTGATATTCTGGAGCTGGAAGTGATTGGGCACAGGTCCAAAACTTATCCACGCCTTCCTTGGTGTTTCCAAGACGTTCCTTGCGAATGAACCTCCGAGACTCGCCCAAGTTGTAGCCGTCTAATTTTTCATGCGTCATGCCTTCTCGTAGCTCAATAGCACCCCGAACCTGAATTAGAGTTCCAACCATTGCCTTTTCGGTCTGTATGAAAGTTGCAACGTGGTCTCTAACTAAGCCGAGGAAGACAACCCTCCACACGGTGTGCGTGGCATCATCTTGTGCTGACATTGTGCCAGTCTTGGCGACTTCTGTCGTTGGTCGAGGGGAATTTTTCGAAAAGATTGCGTGTTTTGGGCGGTACGATCGTTTGCGAATGGCGTGGCATGCGAATCAGTCGTTGTTGCGGCATCAAACCCCAAAATCATGAGGAAGAACCTCCTCCATTTATACGGAATATCCAAGTCTTGTCTTGGATTTGAAGATGTGCTACATCGAACATTTCTGGAGGCGAACACGCCTTCAGACGTTCTGGAAGAGGACACTTTGTGTTTCTTTGGCTCTAACTTACCGCCATTTGTGCTGTGAATCACACCCAAATGATAACTCTTTGATGTTTTCCCAACGTCAAGGAGCTATGACCGCTTTTGAGACAGACGTCTATTGCTTTTTCCAAGTTCAGATGGAGCAGAATAGAGTAGCGAATCGCCAAGGTTGTGCAAAATCATAATTACTCACTATCTACAGGTGCACTAGATAAAGAAGCAAGACTAGTTGAGTTGCTATAAAGGATTTGATTGTAATCAATAAGTACGGTGATAGAGATAGACTTGATTAACAATCGATGATGGTAGTTAAATTTCGAACCTCTGTTCTCACAATTCTCTAGCTAAGTTTCCACATGTTTCTCATTACACAGTACGGTCAAGTCTCTGTGCCTCACACATCTTAGCGTACAGGCCCCCATTTTCTAGTAGCTGTCTATGTGTTCCTGATTCAGCAATTCTCCCATCATGAAACACAAAGATTCGGTCTGCGTCTTTCACAGTAGACAGCCTGTGGGCGACAGCAATGGTGATCCGGTCTCCAGCAGTGGCAGCATCCATGAGCGCGGACTGGACGACTCTCTCCGACTCAGTGTCGAGCGCACTGGTGGCTTCGTCAAGCAGAATCACCTTAGGCTTTCGTATCAGCGCCCTAGCGATTGCAATCCTCTGTCTTTGCCCTCCAGAAAGCTGGCTGCCACTTGTGCCACATTGAGTGTTGAGACCATCCGGGAGTGAGGAAACAAAGTCCCACACGTTCGCGGCACGACATGCCTGTTCAATGTCCTGGTCTGAAACCGAACCAGGGATGTCTGTATCGACTCCTTGTGAAATATTTTCACGAATAGTTCCGGGAAACAGCGTTGGTTCTTGCTGCACCAATGAGACCTGACTTCGATATAATAACGGATCCAGGGATGGGAGAGGCGCCGACCCATCGAGATTGATAGTTCCACTGCTGGGGTCATAGAAACGCTCAAGGAGAGATATCATTGTGCTTTTACCGCACCCAGATGCTCCCACAAAGGCGATAAATTGTCCCCGATCAGCCTAGAATAGGAATATTAGTTGGACTGAGCAGACTGTTTGGCTGGGTGAGAGTAGAATCGCACGCACGCTCAACGACACTCCTTTGAGAACTTGGTTATTCGGAGCGAGCGGGTACGAAAACCCAACGTCCCTGAACTCATAGGACTCGCAACCAGATGGAGAACCCTTGCCCTTGTTTTCCTCAGTCTGGTAGATGGCAGGCTTCAATTGACGGAGCCAAAAATAGTAGTTTGCGGCCTGATTGGCCCCAGAAAAACCTTGCAGCAAATAAAGGGTAAGTATTCAGTTATAAAAATGTGAAATCCTGGTGAGCACTCACTGCTGGCGAAACTGAACATTTGTCCTGCTGCCTGTCCAGAGAAGTAAACGCCCATAAAGGAGACCATGAACTGGTAGAAGTCAATCTCGCCGTCATGTATGAGGCGAGAACCCCACCTAGAAGAAGGTCAACAGCCGAAATTCTCTCATTGACCAAGGCGTTTCTTACCAGAATCCTAGAGCAAGAATAAAGTACTCAATAGCTTGTGTGAGGGCGAACCAGACCATCATATGGAACATTGGCGGAGACATCTGCTCTATCGCCAAATCAAGCTCGTTTGTATACTTCTTCAGAATTGTATCCTCAATAGCCAGCGAAGACACCGTACGAATTGCGGTTATTGTCTCAGATGCCACAGATGCGCTTGAAGCAAATCTCTCCTCCGTCTCCGACTCGATCTTGGCGTCAAGTTGGACTCGAGCATATCCCGCCACCATCATTGGCGGCATTCCGGCAAACACACCAACAAGGCCAAGTTTCCACGATACTGCCAATGCAAGAACACTAGATGCCAATACATTGACGCCGGCTATAATTATCAGTGCAACATTTAAGCCCATGAGCTCTAAAATGGCCTGAGGATATAGATCGAGGTAACTAATGATCGCGCCAACTGTATTCTCCGGACGGTCGAAAAACTGAAGATCTTGCTGCAGAATGGAGTCAAGAATATCTTTTCTCATCTTCGCATTCAGGCCCTTGATCTCTATTTTAGTATTCTGTAGTCAAATGAGAAAGAAGAAAACACACCTGGCAAATGATATTGGTCGCCCAGCCAAGGATGAAATAAGCTGCGAAACTTCCAATTGAAATGACGAAGAACATTAAAGAGACAAAATTGCCCTTGGAGACCATATTGTCTCCCTTGAACACGTCCATGATTTTTCCTAGGAGTAGTGCTTGTCCTGGATAAACGGCAGCTATCAAATGCGTTAGCTGATGTATCATTGGGAGAACCAAGTCTGATACCTACCAACTGCGACACAAGTTAATACCAGTAGTATATACCAGACGTTCAACTCGGGCGTCGTTGCCACAATCTTCAGAACGCTTCTGATCAATCCCGTCTTCTTATATTGTTCTATAGTTCCCTGATCATTAGTGACTGCCAGTTGCCCATCTTCAGTGACATCAAATTGAGCTTCAGATTTGGCCATCGGGCCAATGTCTCCGCCCGATGAAGAATCCTGGTCACCAGCAATCGTTTCTACTTTCGTCGACTCCAACGGGGATAGATCTTGTGCCTTGACCAGTTTGGCATAAAGTCCACCCAAATCCACCAGTTTCTCATGACAACCTTGCTCCATTAATCTCCCTTGAGACAGTACGACGATATTGTCGGCGTTTCGAATCGTCGCTAGCTTGTGGGCAATGACGATGGTGGTACGATTCTTCGACGCACTGTCCAATGCTTTTTGTACAATTCCTTCTGCGTGGGGATCCAGGGCACTGGTGGCTTCATCAAGAAGTAAGATCTTCGGCTCGGAGATGATACTGCGAGCGATTGCGATCCTCTGTTTCTGGCCTCCTGAGAGAAGGCCGCCTCTCTCACCAATACGAGTATCGTAGCCTTCTGGTAAGTTTTCGATAAACTCATGGGCAAAAGCCAGTTTTGCTGCGTGTTGCGCTCGATCCATTTGCTCTTGGCGGGTGGCATCTTGCCAGCGAGTCCCGGCCAAGCCGTAGACTATATTGTCAAAAACACTGCCATTGAATAGAACAGGTTCCTGTGAAGGTCAGATCATTAAGTAGAACGTGACGCGAGAAAGGAATTCGCCCTCCAGCATACCTGTTGCACGAGACGGATGTTGGTACGGAGCCATCTCAGATTGAAATTCATGATATTTTCGCCGTCCAGCTTTAGAGAGCCGTCTGTTGGATTATACCACCGCTCTAACAGGCCGATTATAGTACTCTTTCCTGAACCACTTGGCCCCTTGAAAACTGTCAGCTCCTCTCCTCGTTATCATGTACCTAGTGTCTCAATCTAACTACTCACCACGAGAGCTGTAACCTTTCCGGCGGGAACACTGAGAGTGAAGTCGTGTAGGACATTGACGTCGGGACGACTTGAATATGCGAATTTGATTCCTTCAAGATCAATTTGTCCAATAATGGTATCCGGTTTCGCTCCCGACTCATCGAAGGGATTGATCTCTGATTGCCGATCGATAACTTCGAATAACTCGGCCGCGGCGGCGCCAGCACGGGTGAAATTCACCGTGTGGGGAGCTATCGAGGACAGTGTACTGGAGGCAATCGTAACAGAAAACAATACCCTGTCAACTAGGCGTTAGTACCACATTAAAAGATCAGAGGCATTGACGTACGTGAAAACAGTCCCGATATTGGGAACCTCGTTCCTGGCGATCATGCCAACGCCCTGCCAAAACGCAAGGCCCATGCCAGCGTATATGACAAAATACTCTCCCCCAAACATGAAACCATACAGAATATTCTTCTTCATCCCAACTTCATATGCTTCCTGAAGGTACGCGTCGTACTTGGACATGATCCTCGGTCGAAGGTTAAACGCGTAGACCGTTCGGATGCCACCCAAGACGCTCTCAGCCAAGCTTCCTGCACTCGCATAAATTTTTAAAATATCCGTCTCTATTTTGGCGTCCGGGATGGATAAAACAACAGAGAGTGCGACGGTAAGGGGGACGATGCAGATGATAATCAGAGTCAACTTCCACTGGCTGATGAATGCGATGATGAAGGCTGCGATGAATGTGCTTATTGACTGGATGACAATCCCCAGCTTTTCAGAGGTACCGGATTGAATGAGCTTTCCATTTGATGTCGCTTGCGCGGCGATGGATCCGGAGACACCTTTGTCAAAGTAGCCAGTCTCCTGGCTGAAGGCAGCCTTCAGATATTCGTAACGGATGTTTCGAGTCAGCCGGTAGGAGACATATGTGAACAAGGAAGAATACATGTATGTTCCCACAAATCGCACAATGCCAATATAGACGAAATAAAGACTAAGAACGGAGCAGGATCATAAGTCAGAGACCTTGCCCAAGGACAGTACTTGGACTTACGCAGTAGTTTGAACCGCCGGCATAAATTCATCGCTTGTCGAGCCAGAGATGTTCGCATCGTTCAGAATCGAGATGAAACGCCCAAGGACGACATTTACCATTGCTAGAGCAACCCCTGAAGCGACGGCGCCCAAGACAGCAAGGAACCCAAGAAGATACTCCATGGGACTTCCATACTTGAACACTCTCTGTCACCCACGGTCAGCACGTACCCAAAGGATTTGCAAATAATGAAGAACTCTTGTGAGAGAAACTTACAAAGTAACCATTTGAACCAGACGGTTCTTGGTTTCCCTGCTGAGTCTCTTTGCTGTCATTTTCGTCGGGCAGATCACCAGCTTTCTCGGACACAGCTGAAGCAGCCATTGCACCGCCAATTCGCAATTTTCAGCCAAAATTAATTGAACGAAGAGGCGAAGTCTTGGAAACGGTCGAGAAAACATATTCCCAAGGTCTTAGTTGGTGACATGAGAACCCTTTGAATGTTTGGCTTCGATTTCGGACAATGTCCGCCAGAGCCCCGAAGGCCGAGAATAAAGACATCAATCCACATCAATCAGTCAATAGTTCTACGCAAAAGAGATATCAATCAATAGAACCCATCTCGGGGGACGGGCGCCAAGAGAGCGTGGCCGTGAGCCGTGACTCGTATCTGGGCTTCGGCACGCGGAACTCCGGCTTCCGGACTTTCTGTTGTCGTGGGGCCAAAGACGCGAATCGACGCCAGAAGACTTTTGCCGTCACGCAATCAATCTTATCAGATCTAAAAAGACGCAACCCCGAACGCAGACGCTCGCAGTCCCTCGTTCCCGCAGGCCGAGGCCCCATAAACCTACAGTCCGTCCCAGGGCCCGGCATATCTTGGCTTGTCAGTCGTGCAGCCGGAGTCGTGCATGATCTGCCTCCGCTCCGTCACTGAGGCACAGACATTGACCAGACCATGTCCGCGATGCTGAACCGCCCGCAGCAAGGGCAGCCGCAGGCCGAGGCGAGCCAGCAGGAACAGAGCTCCACGATCGGCGTGCTGGACGATGAGGACCAGGACTATGATGACACGGCCGTGCATGACGAGTCATTTGGCCAAGCCGGCGAGCGTCACGGCCCCGAGGGCAATCCCACCGAGTCGTTTGCTGTACGTCTGTGGCCCACTCTTGCTCCCTTTCGTTCCATGGTGAAAGATATTTGATGTTTTGCGTCTGCTGACCCTGTACCAGTGTGTGAATTGCCGGCAACGCAAGGTAAATAAACCACAATGGCACCGACCCCATCCCGTTCCAAGCAGTTCTTCTTGTTCATCTTTTGCTTGGTTTCATACAAGCTGTTCCAAGTAAACACAATGTTTACGTTGTACCCTGTGATCCCCTGTTTAGGTGAAATGCGACCGCGTCTATCCGTGCTCTCACTGTCTCAAGACAAGTGTGCAATGCATCTTCCTCTCCAACCAGAAACGCAGAATCAAGCGGCAACGAGTCCACATCTCAGACGTCTAGTGAGATCCCGTCCTTGGCTTGGCTCCTCGCTGACCTCGCTGCTGACTTTGATCTTCTACCACAGTGAAAACAAGATTGACCAGATTGCCCTGCGAATTGAAGAGCTGAACAGGACCATCAGCCAACTCAGTCTCGCCCAACCTCAACCAGACAAGACAACCAGCGGGTCAACGACCCAGACTGCTCAGCATGCTTCACACATAAACTCATCCCCGGGGCTGGTCAACAATACGCCCTCGTCTGGTGTTACTTCGTCATACGAGGAAAAGCAGACGCCGCCGACACAGCCCGAGTTCGAGGGCGAGTCGTCGCTCTCAGCACACGCCACGTTTGCTACCAAATTTCTCCAAAGCTGTGTCAGTAACAGCCCGTCATCCAAGGTCATGCTGGAGATGACATCTGTGCTGGACACTCTCAAAGCCATTGTGGATTCTCAGAAACAGAAAGCCGACACGCTCGAAACCTTGTACCCTAATGCGCGACCCCTTCCCGCGGGAGCAAGTCTCCGGCAACTGCCCCCTTTGTCCATCGAGCATGCTCTTGCCTGCCTTCGATTGGTACAAGGTAAGTAGAGGTCTGGAAACCTCGTGGAAGTTCCGAGCCTGCTAACTGTGTCTCAGAAAACAGCCGCATCCGGGCCCTGTGGCTGATGGATGTCCAAACACTCTCGCAATTTACCGGCCACTTTATCAAGGTCTGCTCTCCCGGACCTGCGACGGAAGCGGATTTGATCATCGTATACGCGGGCTTCTACTGGCTGTTTGAGGAATGCTCCAAGGAGGTATCCGACGACTCGCTCAAAGAGGCCTATAATATGCAGACCATCATATGCAGAGATAATTTAGAGACGACTCTGGCGCGACTCCCCTTCCATCTCATGGCAACCTTGGACAACGCCTTTGCGCTTACGCTGGCGGTGGGTATTTTAAGACTTCATGTCGAGAATGTGGCTGACCGGGTGTGATCCAGACACTGTATTGCTTGGAGAGATGCAAACCATCTGCCGCATGGGCTTTTATCTGTACAGCTTCGCAGCAAAGCCAAGCCCTTGGCCTTCATAGCATGATTGCATGGCACACGGAAACAATGGAATCAAAGCAGTACAGGATGCGGTTATTCTGGACCATATATACCGTCGAGAAGACGCTGGCGTTTCGCCTGGGGCGATCCTCAACCATTCGCGACAACGACATCTCGATCCCTCGCATCAGCAATGATGCTTCATCCGAATACGGAATCGACGACACCTTCTCATTCTGGATTGAGCTGTCAAGCCTCCAAGGCCGGGTGTACGACGAGGTGTACAGCCCCATTTCACTAACTCAGCCAGAGGAAATTCGATCAGCCAGGGCACGGGGCCTCGCCACCCAAGCGAGAGGCCTTCTCCACGCACAAGATCACCTTCAGGTATGAGAATATTCATCGTCCATGCAAGTCTCTGCGATACTAATTCATGTTTGAAACAAAGAGACAGAACCACGCGATAAGATCAGAGCTAATGGGAGCCGGACTGTCCGAGCTGCTGTGGCGTGCCGACCGCGTGACGGCTCTGTCGATGCTCACCCTCATCTACCGCAGCATCCCGCCCGAGGATGCTTCCAAATCCGTATTCTGCACCGAGTGCCTTTCCGCCGCAAAGGAGGCATTGATAGAGCACGAGAAGTGCGTCACTATTCTGACAGACAAGGAGTTTCAGCCGGATATGTTGGAACTATACGTGAATTGGTACGTTCCCCTTGTGAAAACGCAAAGAAATGGGTGTGGACTAATCGCGAGTGGATCAAAAGGGCGCTTCTCCAATCTCCGTTCACTCCGTTCATCGTGCTATTTTGTCACATCATCGAAACATCAGATCCCTCTGACTTGGAGTGCCTGAAGAGACTAGTAGAGATTTTACAAATCGCCGCCTCAACCCCGAAGAATGTCATATGCGAACGGCAGCTTCGCCTGTTCAAGGCACTCTACGACGTCGCCATCAAATACTTTGAAATCAGGGCGGAGACGACACAGGCAGAGCATGGCGGCCAGGGTGCAGACGGCTTGGGAGGTCCATACCTCGACGCAGCCAGTGGCGGGTTGCTTCAGCATCAGTCCACGTCGCTCTTGGGGTCCGGATCACTTCTTGGGTCTGGTTCTGAGATTACATACGGCCCGGTGGAAGATCCCATCTCTAGTCTGGGGAATGGCAACGTGAACCAAGTGCCAGGTCAACAACGGGTTATGCCAGGGGCAAGAGTCGGTCAGTTCAACCCCCAAGGGCCAGGGGCTACCAGAATGGAGATGGAGCAGTCAGGCGCAGGTCTAGCCACCTGGTTCTATTTGAATGATCAGATGATTCGGATGCTGGGAGAAAGCTAAGCTGGGATATTTCCACAAGGAGTTTCTACCAACTACAAGCATTTCAGCTGAATCCAAGGGTGGTCAGTCCAATAGTGGCGTGCCTGTTGGTCTTCTTCGCCAATGGTCGACAACCTCTGCTTATGGAGGGTCCTTCTAGGGCAGCTCTGCCCCAGCTAGTACTACGTTGACTCCTTTTTGGCTGGGGCAAAGGAATATGACCTTCAAGTACAATCATCTGGCCTAGGTATGACATGCGTCTTGAGCGATTAGTGTCTTCCGGTGAGGACGGTGATGGGAATCAGGAGGCATCAGGGCCAAGACGGGTCGTAATCCTACGGCATGGGATGGAAGCTTACACTTGTTTCTTCTAGAGCAGTGGGTTAAGGAGACGATACTGAGCTAGTAGCGGGCTCACAGTGAGCCTCACGCACGTTGGGCCAACTTACAGTGGTCAGACCGTCCTCTGTCTCACTGATCACTCCCTCCAGGAGTCGAGGAGCAGAACCCCCCGGACCATGACCAATCGGCTGAGTTGGCTGATTGTGCCAGTCCCGCTGGATGGTGGATTCAAGAATAGCGTGTTTCAGTTCTGCCCCCATGTAATTGTCTGATCATGCTCTCGGCTGGCGGGTGCGGCCTCTGTTGATTAGCTGGCTCCTCCTCCTTCGTGCCCCTGGAATCCATCCTGGACGAACCGATTTGCTCCATCGGCCCCGTCCCCATGTCGTCGAATCGCCAAAGTCAGACGGGCAGACATTTCTGGAAGTCCATCTCCACTAGATGACTGCCATGTGGTAAAGATTAATTAAACAATGTGTAACTGCCACCACGCGCTATGTCTGAGGCTAAGTACTGGCTAAACCAGGAAGGAAAGGCTGCTTACCGCGTGGTTCCTGCAGTAGACCCCTTTCATGATGCAGTTCTGGATGGTCATTTTCCTCTTCTGGACGCGCACACGTTTGAGTTGACGGCGTGGCTCTCCTTTTCTTCCTGTCGTTCATTAATTGGGTAGCCAAGTCTCTTATCCCATCCTGCTCGGCCTTAGCAGTTTCAGCTGTTGTGCGTCCGCGGTTATAGGGTAGTATCAGCGAGTGCGGCATGTGGTAGACGGGGTTGTGTAATCATTCCCACCCATGCAGCTGTCTGGTCCCAGTGATCTGCCACGGTCCAGGGGCCAGCTCCTCTCTCGGCCGACTTTGTCTCGGCTACTGCCTGGCGACAGGCGGGAGGCGAAAGACGAGATGAGCGGCATCAAATCGCCTTCCTAAACCTCTCTTTCGTTACCAAGCCCTGGCACCAGCCTTGGGCAAGGTTTCCGGCCGGTGGTGCCGTGAGCACCAACTGGCTTGTTGCCTGCCCCCTTGGCGCCAACGCCCCCAATTTCTTATTTTTCCCTTGCCCACGGGAGTGATACCTGCCACTGCGTAAGGACGGGCGCAATGCGGGCTGAGGATTGTTGGGCCAATCAAGCCGGTTGCTCTGCACCGGCTCCTGGTTTCAGCAGAGGAAGCATGCAAGCCACGCCACCTCTACACACATCACAGTACATATGACAGCTAATTACAGCACCTCTGTCAGCGGGTGCGTGGAAGAGGGTTGCGGGCGCTTCCAGTCCTCATGCCGGCTGGAAGTTAAACTGGCTTGTCGAATCCGTGGCACGAAACAGATGGTAGACGACGCACGTACACGATACCCTCCATCATATTAGATGTGGCCTCTTGTGGCCTCTGACCTCGCGGCCAATTGCTTTGTAACTATATTTCAGATCAAGTTGTTGCTTCTGGAAATCTCATTCGAGCCGGCTTCAGGGAGAATCACGACCCCTGTTCCCATCATGACATGGCTCCCTGGCCGTTCTCCATCAAAATACGTCGCCAAGCCAATCAGACACAGAAAGGAGCGATATGCCCAATCACCACGTTTTGTCTAAGCCGGCGGGAGTCGCTGTTGGAGAGGGGCAGCTCCCTCGGTACAGGGGTGCCGGTTGCTTTGTGTTTGATGCTAACGCTGGGGAGACACACAGACGCCGACCTGGTTGATGAACTGCCGCTTTGGCCGGACGTAGCAGTTGGAGACAACTCGAGGCAACTCTTATATGTACGATCCACTCCCCTCTGCCCATCCTCCTCCTTCAACCGCTTTTGTTTTCTGTTCCAGGCAACAACCCAGGCTGCTGAGCATTGCCCTGTCCATTCATTCTTGTTCATTCAATAGATATCGTACAGCCTCAAGCTACGAGCGCTGTTCTTTCGCTTCATTTACGGCTAGCCGCATTTCACACTCTCTTCCTAGGCGCTCTGCTCCCAACGAAACCAACATTTCAACAGCAGCTGGACCAACCATCTTAACCCATCACCGTTTTTCGTTTTATAACACCTCCTGCCTCGAGACTTCACCATGAAGACCGCCTCAACTGCCGCCTTTGCGGCCTCTCTTGTGGCCTCGGCCTCTGCTTTTGGCTACAACGAAGACAGGACTTTCGCCACTGTGCAGTTTACCAACAACTACATTCTCCAAGCCCGTGTCGACCCCATTGTCTCTCCCGGCAAGATTGCCTCCCATGTGCACACTATCCTCGGTGGTAGCAATTTCGGCATTTCCTCGACTGGCGAGGACCTCTTGAAGTCAAACTGCACCAATGCCAATGTCAAGGGTGACATGAGCAATTACTGGTTCCCCTTGCTGTACTTCCAGGATCCCCAAACCGGAAAGCTCGAGCCCGTGGAGGTTTTCTACCCCAAGGTCTATTACTTGTACGTGTTGCTTGCCCTTCGCCGCTCCCACTATATCTCGTTTGAGTACTAATTTAGCGATCCTCAGCTTCGAGAAGACACATGATGTGATCAAGGCATTCCCAGTCGGCCTTAACATGCTCGTCGGCGACCCAACGAAGCGCACCCCTCCTTCGAGCCCCGAAGAGATCCTCACAACTGGCTCGGGCCAGGAGATCAGCAACGTCCACGTCACCTGCCCCCGTGATGAGAAGGTCACCAGCGACAACAAGTATCCCACCGGACCCTCGTGGCCTGTGGACTCGGACGGCACCACGGCCGGCATTGGCAGCCAGAACAACCCGGGTGCCGGTGTTGGCTTCCCCTTCAGAAACTGCGACGGTTACGCCTCGCCGCTTCGAATGGACATCCACTTCCCCTCTTGCCTGAAGAAGAATGCCGACTTGAAGGACTACAAGAACAACATGGCCTGGCCCAAGAGTGTCAACGGCTACCAGGACTGCGCTGAGGACGAGATCCACGTGCCCCATCTCTTCATGGAGGTCTACTGGAACACTCCCCTCTTCAAGGACCGATGGGACTCTTCCGGAAATGGACCCCAGCCTTTCGTCACCGCCTCTGGTGACCGTACCGGATACAGCTGGCACGCCGATTTCATGGCCGGCTGGGACATTGATATCCTCCAGAACGTCATCGACAACTGCAACACCGGAAATAATGGTATGCTGAAGTGCCCCGGCGTCGAGGAGAACAAGGACCACTGCACCATTGAGACTCCCGTTGACGAGATCATCGGCGGCGTCTTGGACCAGCTTCCCGGCAGCAACCCAATCTCTGGATGGGGCGTTGGCTCCAACCCTCAGCCTCAACCTAGCGGAAGCTCTTCTTCCTCCGCTGCTGCCTCCGCTACCGCCCCTGCCTCATCATCCTCGGCTGCGTCGTCATCCACTTCTGCCTCAGCCGCCGCCTCGGGCTCGTCTTCCTCTGCATCTGCTGCCGCCTCTTCATCATCCAAGGCCGCGTCCAGCGGTCTGCCCGACTCCAGCGACGACGCCACCAAGGTTATCGAGAACCCTGCTGTGTCGACATCCTCCGCCGTTTCGACATCCTCCGCCGTTGCTGTCGAGACTTCAGGCGCCCCCCAGTCGTCCTCGTCCGCCACAGTGCAGTCTTCTTCCACCAAGACCAAGAAGCCCAAGTCCACCTGCGCTCTCAAGACCGTCTACGAGACCGTCACCGTGACCGCCCCGGCCTCTGGCGCTGTGCAGTCCCAGGCCAGCCACGCCCGCCGACACGAGCACGAGCGCCTCATGCACCGCCATGCTGGCCACCGCCACTAGACTCTTCGAGATTCGCTCGATGATGTTTGACGAAGGTCTTTGTTTCTTGTAAAATTTAGCGCCGGATTCTGGTTCACCTTGAGACTCAAAATTTGAAAAACGGGGAAAAGGCAGATGGCTACTTCGATTCTTTGTATATGTAGACAGCGTCATTGATGACATTAAAAACACTGCGTGGCATTGCAGGTATTTGCCGCCCCATTTCTCATCCCAGCCTTCAATGTTATGCATGCTACTTGTGATTCGTTATGATGCCTGCTCTGTGATTGCTAATTGTGCAAGGCCAATCTTATGCCATTGTTTTTCAGGAGATTCATCTCCTCTTTGCCTAAGATTCCTCCACAGGCCCCGGCGGGTTAGGCTTTTTGTCATGGATGCCCTGAAGTACTTTCATTCGTGATGGACCATGCTCTAATATGTGCGTGGTCTCTGGCCCTTATAGTCTAGCTCTCTGCTGCCTGGCATGAAGAATGTTTACACACTGCCACATGCTGTTATCATTGCTCGTCTCAAGGCATTTGCCTTTGCAGGCTCTCCGTGAGCTGCCCCTAGCTTTGTCACTTCCCGCCCATCGGCCCTTACGCCAGCTGCATTCATCTTTCCGCTCGAAGCTCTTGGGGTATGGATCGAAGGCTTATTCTCGCCGCATGACCTGCCTTTTTCCACCGGGTCAGAAGGCGAAGCGACCACGTACTCATCACCCGCCGGGTTCATAGGATAGAACGCCAACACGGAAACAACATACCACGCGCTCATCTAATCTATATTTTCATTCCCACTTAGACCTGCAGCCGTCGCGGTTCATTTTCTAGGGTAATCGACAGATTTCCTCCGCCGCGCGACCGGGAGACTCATGCTGCGAGTGAAAATAAGCAACGTGATGCCCTGACTCGTCGCTGCGAAGATTTTGGCTCGCGCTAGAATGATCATCCAGCCAGTCTTCTTTCCGATCTCAACAAGTCTCCCGCCGATACTTAGGGTTGAACTATCGTTGGAGACTACTTCTTTGGCTCGGTAGGTGGGTGTCGGCTCTCTGGCGAATTCCCGAATCAAGATGGCGCACATCTGGGATCGGCAGAGGTTCCCGAGATGGTGGTCAAGTAGGTGGTCAGGTAGCTTTATAATGGAGGTCTTGCATCATTGATGACAAATTATTTCGGATAATCCAGAGAGATATAAAACCTCAAGAGACAGTTAAAATAACAATACTTGTGTGAACCAAGCAGGGACGTGATTAATTCAATTCATCAGGTTTACAATTGTGGTTGAAAGATTGACAACAACTCTCTTCGGCTTTCTGCGACGCTCAACAACAAAATGTCTTCTGTTACGATTCGCCAAGCATTCCGTCGAACTGACGATTTCACTCCCGGGACACCAAAACTCAAGCTCGTGAGCGAGGATCTGCCCCTGCCATTACATCCGACAGCCGTCCTCATTGAGGTTCACGCAGTCGCACTCAACTATCGCGATGCCAACATTGCTAACGGCGGTAACCCGTGGCCTGTGATCCCCGAAGGCATTCCCGGAAATGATGCCGCCGGCCAGATCATCGCTGTAGGTGAGAGAGTCTCGCTAGTCTCAGTTGGTGATCGGGTAGCTCCCATCACGGATTCGGCATATCTCAATGCTCGGTCAACCGGACGGTCGTGGCTCGCCGCGAATGAGGATGGAGTGTTGGCCAGCCATCTGGTTTTTGACGAAAAGCTGGTGACCAAGCTTCCTGACCACCTTGATTGGATTCAATCCAGCATCATTCCGTGTGCTGGCACAACAGCGTGGTCTGCGCTCAAAGGAGCTACTATTGGCCAGACTGTTTTGATTCAAGGTGATTAATTCTACCCCATGTGAGATTCAATACTAATCCCCCGTTTCAAGGTACTGGCGGAGTGTCAACGTTCGCGTTGAAGCTAGCACAAGCATCCGGGCTTAGGGTTATCTTGACATCTTCTGATGATGAAAAGCTCCAAAGCATCAAAGCACAATTCACCAAGCCAGAGATCCAAACTGTCAACTACAGAAAGAACCCCGAATGGCACGAGGAGGTTCTCAAACTCACCAACGGGGTTGGTGTTGATCTTGTAGTAGAAAATGGTGGAAGCAGCTCGCTTGTCAAGAGTATGCTATGTACTCGTCGGGGAGGCATTGTCAGCCAGGTCGGCTATCTGGGAGGGCCTAAGCCTGAACATCTGAAGGATTTTGTTTCCACGATTATTGACAGAAGACTCAACGTCAGGTAAGAATCTATTTAGCACCAGCCAATCTCGACTGAGCGACTAACCCGTGTTAGGGGCATAAATGCCGGATCAAAAGATGATCAGGACGAGCTCATGGCAGCAATCTCAGCCGTACAAATGACATTTGATGAGATCCTAGACTCTGTGTGGTCCTTTGATAAATCCGAGGAGGCGGTCGAGTTTATTTGGCAAGGGAAACAAGTTGGAAAAGTGGTAGTCAGCCTCGACAAATAAGTTAGCACGGACATTCCCGACAAATTTTGTACGTATCATAAGGCAGTAAGTTTGATACTCGCATTGTCTTCATCATATATGTATTTGCGTTTTTGAATCGTGAAAGTGTTCCCAGGCACACCTACATGTGCTGGAGATGGAAATTGACATGGATTCAGATGGTCACCCTCATCGGGAACCCAATATCTTTTTCTTCTGACCCTGAACCTTAATTCCAACAAGGAGCCATTACTCTGAGCTATGCTGTCGGCTATCCAGTTGTCGGCTTGCTGGTTGCTCCTCCTCCTTGTCTTTCACGTTCACATCTTTCCAGAACAAGGTAGCCACAAGCCCAATAACGGTGAGACACAGAGCGGCAGAGAAAAGATTCCGCATTGCCTGGGAGTAACTCTGCTCGATAGCCAATCTCTCAGCAGTCCCCTTGTCAAAGGACAATTGAGAATAAATGCTGCTGTAAATGCTTTCAAGCTGAGGCTGGGCACTGGCTGGAAGGTTTTTGGACAGATACGACGGAAACACCTTGGTCCATATGGCTGCCGAGATTGTAGCGCCTACTGCCTGGAAGATGCTTGTCACCATGTTGTATACGGCCAACACCACGGCGATATGCTCATGGTCAATGACAGCCAAGACTGCCACCTCGGAGGTGAGATATATCAACCCGTCTGCTAGTGACAAGAATACTTGTGCCATGACGATCAACCCGGTGGGGGATCCTGTGTCGGAGAAGTGATACATGAGGCCAGTGGCGAGTATTTGCAAAGGGCTCCCAATGTACAGTGCAATCCATTTATAGTGAGACGTTGTACGAATCAGTGCACCGGCAGCAATACCCGCTAATACCCAGCCAACGCTATGGATATTGACAACATACCCAGCAAGGGTGATGTCCAGTCCCTGGATAACCTGTAGAGATGAGGAGAAATAGGAGTACCAGACATAGTAGACTAGATACGTATTGGCCGATGCGATGCTTCCTCCAATAATGGTACGATCTTTGATGAGTTCCCATGGAAGGAATGATTTTGGTGCCCAGTACTTCTCCCAGATCGCAAATAAGACAAAGCAAAAGACACCGAAAACAATCATACAGATGATCATTGGTGATGCCCAGCCACTCGCCTGGCCAGAGTAAAGGCTAAACGGCAGAAGAAGCAACGAGAAGCCACCGGCGAGAAGTAGAAGCCCAATGACTGCCATATGGCTGTATATTAGCTCCCTTTCCTATGAAATAATACCGAGAATAGGAAAACCCCGGGAGAAGGAGGGTTAACTTACAGTCAAACTCGACCCAGTAGTATTTCAGGCCCTCCCAGGCGTTTCTGTGTTCCTTGCGTTCGGACACTCCACTCCTCAACCGGGCCCTTCGATAATTCCATAAGAGGAGTAGAATCAAAGGCAAGCCAGCGACGGGAGCCGCAATTGCAAAAGTGCCAAATGACCACCTCCACCCGGGCCCGGAGAGGAACCGGCTCGCGATGGGGGAGCCCACCCACGTTGTGACCAAGTAGGGGGCGTTATACAGGCCAAACATGAAGCCTCTGTTTCTTAAACTGAAGTTGTCTGCGAGGATGACGTACAACACGTAGAACATTCCATCGAATCCGGTCCAGAAGAATACTGAAGCGGCAGAATATGTCACCACGTTCTGGCACGCGGCCATCATGATAACACCAATGGTGAAAACGGTGAGCATGACAGCAAAGCCTTGAGCGCGACCCCAGAGGTTGAGGACTTTAGAAAGAGGTAATCGAAAAATGGCGGCGACTACACTCGACACGATATTGGTTGTCGGAATGAGTGAGTGGGCGCTAAAGTCGCTGTACACATACGGCAAAGTGCTGTACATGACCTGAACCTGTAGGGCGGTGGTAAATGTAATGAGCGTGATCCTACATCCATCAATCCGGCTATTAGTAAAGGTGAAAGGACCAGGAAATTCTTGTTCGCATACATCGAAAAGAGCGCCGCGAGTCCCCCGATGGTGAGCGCCGATTTGACGACTTCAGCCTCTTGCACTCCAGGTTGGGCCGGGTTGAACTCTAACTCGTATTCCTTCGCATCTTTTGCCGATGTTTCTGCATGGCCTGTATGAAAGGTCTCCTTTTGTTTCATCCTCATGGTGTAGATTCAAGTGTGGAGGTAAATATGGTGAACTTGCCCAGCCAACCTCTAGTAGATTTGCAGCAAGATTCCAACCTTGGTTGGAGGCTGAATGGCTTTTTAGGGATTTAGGGTTGTTTATCTTATATAAGTCCATTGCTTGAATATAAATGTGGCACAACGGTCAGGAGATTAGGGTCTGGGACTGTTCCAAGATCTGACTTCATCACTGGTACCTTGATGAAGTACCCGCTAGTGATCAAGGGCCAATTCGATGCAAGCATGAGCGATTTTCAGCCCTGGAAATAGCCTCTAGATTAATGTATGCTCGGTTGATGCATGGGTTGTGGTTTAGGATCACACAGTCTTCGGATTACTCTACTAAACTTGAGGCGACCGTCCATAAATTGACCACCCGCTGGTGCTTAGTCTCGTTCTAGCACCTAGAACGGACGAACAGAGTGACTCATTGCATTGAGAAATTGAAGAGCTGAGATTTAGCTGATCGATGAATGCCATCAAGGTTCACCACTGGATACAAAGAAGAACCAATCAAACCACCCCAGCAAATCTGATTAGATCGGGGGCTAGGGTTTAAACGGAAGTCGGCAATATGAACACCACATGACAGTCAAGTAAATGAGCGGGGATATGACTAGTCTGGCTTTATTTGGACATTCGTATGTGGTATCAGTAGCTCTCTGCGGCGGCGGCGCTTATGTTGCTTGACGGAGGTGGTCGAAATACCCGAAGTTGAATAGTTTGGGACAACCGAAATTCAGAACCGCATGTGACATTGAAAACTGTTCACTAGTACGTAAATCCATCGTGAATATCCTATCAATGCCATGTCCAGCTCATAGCTCCTAGCTGAGTGTCGAATCAATCTCGGACTTGGCGCTACTTGCATGCCAAGAGACAATCCATGAATACGGCATAAACCGCAGGAAGAAATTTCGTAGATGGTACATGAAGGTGTTTTTCGGGATGTACATGGCCGCCATCTTCCGGCTTCGTTGTTGAAGGCGTTCGATTATTGGCCTTAGCTTCCTTTCATGCTGGGACAGCGCAGTAGCAACAATGTTGGTAGACATCAGCTCCTTGCCCAGGATCTCTGCGGAGGCGAGAGCCATCCCGGCCCCCTGTCCAGACATCAACGTGAGACAGTGTGCGGCATCACCTAGCAATAGCACCCGGCCTTTGTGCCAGTTTGGCAAGGACACCATCGTTAAGCGGTCGACGACGGGCGTAGAGCCGTTTCTCTCAGCGAGGCTAATCACATCTGTGACTAGTTTCGTGCTGCCGGACGTAATGTGACGAATTTTGTCGAACTGGCTTTGCTTATCTTGTAATCGTGTTTGGTCATCCCGCCAAATATGAAGCGCGGCAACACGATTATTTCTCAAAGTGTACAGCACATCAAGATGCCCCGGGCTATTAAACGAGACGCAATCAGAGTCAAGGCCTGGCTGTCCCTCAATATCATAGACAGCGTAGGTATAGCCCAGATCCTCCAGACATTTGTTGCCTTCGCAGAGGTAATTTCGAGTAGAGGATCGAATACCATCGGCCCCTATGAGTAGATCTGCTTCGAGGGTCTCGCCGGTGCTGAGGGTAGCTTGAGCCTTGGTACCGTCGTCCTCAATTTTGACTACCGTGTCACCGAAGCGAAAGGCGACAGATTCAGATATAGCGTTGGCTAGGACGCGGGCAAGGTCGTCGCGGCATACGGCCAAGGCATCGACACCGCCGTGTACATCTTTGTAGCGAAGACGTAGAAGCTCGCGGCCACCATTATCCTTGACCACATTCTCATCAAAATTGTACGAGATCTCGTCCAGCTTCTCGTATAGGCCCATCCTTTTGACTGTTTCCAGACCCGAGCCGGAGATACTGACAATGTAGCCTCCCTCGCGCATCGACGGCGACTTTTCAACAATGGTGCAAGCCCATCCGGCCTTTTCCAACCACCATGCGGCGGCGAGCCCCGAGATCCCGGCACCTATAATCAGTGCCCTGGAACGCGCTTCGGCTTGCATTTTTATTGAATAATCCAAGGGGTGAGTTATTGACTAGAGAAGGGTGAGTGTGTGTAGAAGCCGTCTTGTCGCTGGTACTTGACGAGTATTCTAAGGAATTCGGAATACGATACCGGTTTATACATCTTTCTCCTGCAGCTCTGAGCCCACGCTGGGTTATTAGTGCACCGCTAGTGCGTTGGATGAGTCCATGTCTGGACTCTGATGTGTGAAACGATGCATGCACAAACCATCAGCCGCATTTCCGGCGGATGCCGAGCGGAACCGACATGCGGGCAAAACCTGCATGATGGGCCATGGAAAAACCAAAGTGGGAGGTACCAAGGATTTTGTTCAATCTGGACAAGGGGATGCGCTGGGGCTGATGCCCTCCCGTCGTATATCTTCCTGATAAATAGCTCAAAGCGTTGGTCCGCCATGTTCATATCCAATCCACTTCATTCACCATCACCCGGGTCGATTTGAATCTAGCATGTTGATTGCACCGGGCAACATCTTTTCAATCACTACCCTTTGTGTCTCTAGCTATAAGCGAGCCTTAATATGGTCTACCTTCTTCTGAGTCTCCTTTAACGCTAAACGCGCTTCAATCTGTCTCGTCCTGGCTCCTCGAGCTCGATCAAGTAGCTCAGACACACGAGCAATGGTTCTTTCGCCTGAGGTTCCGCCACCGTATTTCTCCAATGCTGTCTGTGCCATCGTCGATACAGCTTCCATCGCACCTTGAAGTCCTGGATCGGGGAGCATAGACAACGACGTTTCTACTTGTATCTGTGTCTGGTTCACCAAGAGGACTGGCTCCAGCCATTCCTTGAGTATGCTGTAGCGGCTTTTTGCAGCATGTGAGCCTTGCTGGAGAGATTGGTATTCTTCCTCGCAGCTCTCAACCTCTTGATCCGCCAGATGACGCTCCGTCTGCGCCTTTTGCAGCTCGTGTTGCATATATTCGGACTCAGCTTTCATGAGTGCTTGGCGACCACGCAGAAATCTATCTAGATGCTCCTTGAGCGTGACCTAGAAAGCTTGAAGTTTCTTTTGTAGATGTTTGGCCTCTTCTAGCGCCTCATAGATGGTAGCAGCTTGCCTTAAAGATCCATCCTCGCGAGTTAATACGGGTGATGAGGATGAAGAACGGCCCCCCCGAAAGCTCGTTCCTCGACGTTTGGACGTATTATCCCTCCAGGAGTTATTAAAAGTTGTCTGAGCCTCCAACTGCCGCGGACGCTTGCGTGAGGGTATTGGGACGTATCGATGGTATGTCTCTAACACGTGCAGCCTGCCGACACAGTTCCTGTGACCACATAAGCGATAAGCCAGAGGAGGCACGTCTTGCAATCTCGTAAATAATCCCTCCAGGTTTCCAAAGTGACAAGAGACTGATATGATGATGGGAACATACGCGCGTGATGGTTGCGAGGTTGAGAATATCTGTCGAGGGGAGTGTGTCAATAGTGCAGACTGAGCCGGGACCGGTGATGTCGGGTTGCGGCCACGGTGGAAGCCACCCACGGCCGCACCACGCTCGATCGAGTTCTTTGATGCACTGCTGACGGTTTGTGATGGGGGAAATTTAAAATGACGTTTTGTTAGAACGATTGAATTATCAAGTTGGAGATTGGAGAAAGAGTAGATGAGATTCACTTTGAACTTGATCCGGTTGAAAGAGCCACTCTCGAGGAGCATCTCCACTCGAATGACCCCGAAGCGCGAGAGCCTGTGCCCGTAGCCGCCATGAGAGCACAAGTAATCGGCCGTCCAGTGTCGAGGCGTCTCAAACTATTTGCCCGCAAGAGAACCGCGGCGGAAGCTGATGATGTTTTGTTGGTAGCTCGAGCTAACCAGGCTTGAGCTATGCCAGACGAGTGAGAGGAGGACGAGGTTCTCAGAACCCGGTTAAGAAAGGAGAGCACCTTTATTAGCCCTGGCCAATCTGTACTTTTCGCATTTCGAACTACTGATCTCTCTCGATCTACTCATGGACAAGAAAAAGATCTAAGACTGAACCATCTGAGTGGTATTGGAGTTAAGACGTTTCAAATATTATCCTGCTTACCTGCAAGCCTGCGACTAATGTCAATTATTAAATTGCTGGGGCCTAGTAATGAATATCTAAGAGATAGTAAACCAAGTATTGGTATCAACGTATATCGTCATACTGGATCACTCCATTCTTCGTAGAAAGTGTTCTGCTCGTAACCGCCCTCCCATTTGATGTCTCATCTCTTCCGTCATCCAGCTGCCCCTCTACAGATTCCTATTGACCATGGCAGTAGTGGGTGACGCGCCCGGCGGGAGGTCACTTAGATGGGAAGCATAACATGAGACTTACGTGATGAGGTAAAAAGTTGGAAGGAAAAGAAGGGACTATGGGAGATATTCAAGCTTTTGGGTGTCAGGAGAGATCAATGCGACATTGGCAGCGGCATCAAATTGGTCATTGCAAAAAATAAGCTTAATTAGGTAGTGCCCTCATATGAGAATATAAAGCTGCTAATTCTTCCAGTTTAGTCGTTAATGATGTAAGACGGAATGCTTACATGGTAGCGTGCTATATTAACTACAACTTTACGTACGTCTCAGGGCCAGTTTTCCATCCTTTTTTGAATCTCGTTATGATGTGCCCAAATCGGCTAGTAAGAAAAACATTGCGAAATTTATACCTCATTACGTCCAGACGGTCTAGGAAGACAACATGGATGATCGCCCTCCGGTCTACGGGGTGGATCGTGATGGGAGGGGAGGACAACGATTGATGACGAAAGGCTTCGAGAGTACGTACTGCTCGTGTACGCAGTGAAAATGTACTGCCGATCTTGAGTCGGTTGAAAAATGGCGTCATTATTGATGAGAAAATCCAAGGCCAGCCCTATTCTCATAGCTCTGAATAGAATCTTGCCGGTCTTGCGGGGTCAGATAAACAACGGCAACTTGACAAAACAAATCGGCGGTAGCACAGCGCCAGATCAGCACTAAATACTACTAATCATCCTCGTAGTAGTGAGAAAAAAAGATACCAGCTTTGCCAGGGTGGTATTTCACTTTCGACCTTGGTTGGGTAGGATTTCGGAATGATGCAGTCCGAAGGAGAGTAGCAACGAGGGTAACCACGTGACCGATGAGTGCCTAGACAACTGGAATGTACTGTCGATGCCAAGAAATTTAGAGGAGAAATGTCTCTTCACGTGTTCGCATTCTATTCGACGTATTCTCTCGTCGGGTGGCCAGGCTAGCCGAGGAGATGTTGCACGCAATTATAATCCTGTGAACAAATGAGCTCAAACAAACGCTGTGTCAGGTCCATCGTTGTGACCACTCATCTTTGATATTTTCTCATCTATTTCATGTAAAAATAACAAGGCTCTTCTGGCCATGTTATTTGTCAGACGGAATACACGGCCGCAATGACCATGCGCGTAGGCATTGCATCAGTAGTCGTTTCAGGGGTGTATCGAGGGGGCACCAACATAGGTACAGTACCCTAATTCATCCGCCGTACCGAATTGAAAGCCACATTTGGCCCAAATGATTTTTATCTCGTCGTATCTTCCCCCATCTTTTGACCCCGTAAACAGAGCCCACTCATAGCACGATTTCCAGCGTGAACTGGAGGGTATAGCAGGTAGCCATATGCATATAATATTAAGCTGCCGGGGTCCCGCCATGAGCTCTAATGAGGAATACGATCAACGCCGGCCTGACATTGGCTCAATCTATCGGGAATATATCTGGCAACCAGGTCCCGGCATCATGGATGGATGATGAAATGAATGCGTATAAATAGGAGGTGGGAAGCACGGACGCGCTCGCCACGCAATGCTGTCCCTAAAATGAGAGCCCATTTCATGCACAGGCCCCTTCGAGAATGAAATGCAGGTGAGATTGACTTGATTTTCAAAGCTCATGCGCGTGGAAAAAGCAAATTGCCTAGTGTGGCGGTCAGTTTCACCGCGGTGACCAGGAGTGGCTCAAGCCGCAGATACTTCATCCATATTACCACCAACCCCCCTGTCACACTGATTTCCACGGCTAAGTAGTTAATCGATCAACAATGTTGATGCCCGAGGCTTAGCCGGACATCATAGGTAAGCAAACAGCGCGCACTTTGATCCCCTCCCGAAATATGCCATGCGGTAGAACCCGAGGCTGTCCGTTTGAGTGAAAAATTTCAGAGGGAGCAAAATCACGGCGCAGACAACGAAACCTCCCCTCCCAGCCCTCGCGCAACGCGCGCAGCTGGAGCCCGCCCCATCCCGAGAACAGCACGTCTCCTGAGAGACTCTGACCCGCAGATTATGGGTGGATGGGATTATTACTGTGCCCTTTGTGGTGGGCCCTTTGGCGTAGTCTACTGGGACTCGGAGGACGACGACGACTACAAATACGATCCCGATGTGTTACGTGACCCTGACGACCCGCAGCTGGCCTGGCTCCAGGACAACCGCATCATCGGCGAGAATCCGGCCAGTGACGCCCAATCCAAGTAGGTTTGCCGGTACCTCTAGCACAAAGACCGCTGAAGTCAATGGCCGCGGGGGCACGCTGGGCAGCTAGACGGCTGACTTCTGTCACTAGAGTATGGGTTTCCGGCCCGGCAGTAAATGATGATTATGGGACTATGAACTACGAGCTGGGGGAGGCTCCAGACCCTGCGCTCGCAGCCTTGCAGAACGGGGGGAGCATCAGCGTGTAAGTCCTTCCTTTGTACTTCTAGCGGGGCGAACCCGGGGCAATCTTAAGGCCTGTAAAGAATATTTAGCTCATGTTTCATTCCAACTCGACAGATACGCCTGGGAAGCCGATGATCCATGGTGTGCGCCATTTCACACGCGCTGCCGTGAGGTGCTTTCCCGCTACGTTGGCGTCCCCGAATTAGACAAGGAAATCTTCTTCGACACGCTGAAGAGCAAGGCAGCGGATGACCAGTCTGGCCGATCTCTTAACATACACTATGGCGATATCAGCGACAAGATGGAGCAGTACTGGGGGGCAGAACGGAACGCAGAGCATTATGTGTGCGACCCTGTCGAGGTCAAAGGGCTGAGGGAGCTGTACTACAATCTCCCTCTACGCAAAGTGGAGAGCGTGAGTGAGTTGAAGATATACGACACCAAAGGTGATCCGTTTGCGAAATTCCCACCCGATATATTACTACTCATCACGTCTCACCTCAAAGAGGTGACAACCTTGTACGGTCTCCGACAGGCATCCCCCGCATTCGCCAATCTTGAGCTGAGCAATGGCTTCTGGAGGAAGCGCTTGAAAGACGATATGCCTTGGCTGTGGGACCTCCCAACACCGACATTCGCCCAGCTGCATGACGTCGACTGGAAGAAAGTCTATCATAGACTGGACTGGGGAAGCAGGCCACATACGAGAAAGCACAACAGAATACCTGGCTTGTGTAACAGAAGAAGGATATGGACCCAGCTTTGCCCCGTATTCGCAGAAGAATATATCCAGTTCGCCGCGAATCTCAAGGCCTGGGGCAGTACGAAGCCTCTGGCTCTCAAAGACGCCTTTGAAACGACACCCAGACAGCTGGGATGCCCGGAAGTCGGAGGGACGAGGGCAATTACTGAGAACATGATAGATTTCTTCGACGATCTTCCTTCTGCAGACATCTCACTGGTGGTGGACTGGGCGGCAAGTGAGCATTTGATCGACATCCACCTTCTTAAAAATGGCCATCACAACCCTACCAAGGGGCAGAGGCTCACGCCGGATCACACCGAAACGATCCACATTCCCGATGATGACTGGCTCACGGGTTTGATCTTCACAACCCGTGAAGAAATGGCCGAAGGCAGAGGAGAGGAACGCTACATCTTTGGCCTGGACATTCTCTTCGCGAAGCAGTCTCCCGTCAAGCTCGGTTCGGACCAGGGCGATAAGCGTTTATTCTATGTCAGCTCACCCGACAGGTTCATTGTCGCGCTGAAGCCATACCGCACAGATGAGGGAATTCTGACACGGATGGGCTTGGTCGAGCAGCCGTCGGAGCACGCGGAGGGCTGCCAGCGCATCGTCGACGCCTCGAGGGATGATTACAGCATTTCCACCATGGAGTATTCCTGGTGTAAGGAACTCCCTCCTCTGCATGTGCGGTTGTCACAAGCCAGCGTTGATCGGTTCTCCTACTTGGGGTTCATCGACCAGAACCCAATGGAGCTCCTCATGTTCGGGACCTCTGAGGAGGAGCTGGCTGACATCACTAGTATATCCATTGATATACATCTCGGGGGGATACAGGTTGGGTACGGCCACCGCCCAAGTCGTGCGGTGGGCTTTCGCTTCCAGGCAATGAAGACCTTGCTGATAGATGGACGGGGTGGAGAGCGCATCGTGCAGTGCCATTCGACTGTCCAGGGAAACCCGAATTCCTTGACGTTTCTCACAAATCGAGGTCGCTGCCTGTCGATTGGAAAGTCGGTTGGCAGTCGAGGCCCACTCCATTTTACCAATGGTTCGACAAATTTGATGCCCTGTGGCATCTTCGCATGCTGGATGAAAGTTGGCAAGGCGCAGTGGTTACTTAGGAGTGTTGGTGCCGTAGGGTCAGTACTGCTGGGCTACGTGGACGTCACAACGCTTCCCTCCCTCCCACAGGACACGAGCGGTTATTATTGGGAGCCATCGATGTTGCCTGGAGGGCTGAAAGAATCAGGAACCATATGGGGCTCGCGCGTGATCCAGGAGAGTTCCAACACGATCCCACGTATCGTCGGAACGGTTCCGTCTATGGGATGCACCGTTAGCAGACTCGATTGCAGTCGTCCTATAGCAGAGATGCGGGTGACACTGGTTCATAGCACCTACGATCCCATCTTGGCTCCCATCACAGCTATTGCATTCAGATACACCGACGGGGAGGAGGCAGCAGTTGGACCAGACGTCTTCCCATCTGCTTCTACATGCGATTGGTGCAGCACTGGGTCTAGCATCAGAGAGGAGACTGAGCAAGTCCCGCACTACCGTCACCAGATATGGAAGGTAGGCGGGAAACGGCTCAGCAGTCTTCGTATTTGGCGTCCTGACTCGATGAGTCTGGGTGCCATCCAATTTATAGCTGAAGGACGTAGAGAAAGTCCTGTTTGGGGTTATTGGGGCCACAACATTAGAAATATGGAAGTTGGAGAGATGCGATTCGTAGGCGAGGGCGGAGGAGATTTTATCGGGTTGAAATTGTTCTTCCAGGGCATTGGACGTGGGGGATTTCGGGATGACACCGTCATCGTCGCAATTCAGGGTCTATCCGTGGCGTAAGAGTGCGCCATAAAGCTGTATTGACCCTGTTATTTTCATTCTAGGATTTTTATTCCATTTTGTTTCACTTTTCTGTCAAAGGGGCAGTTTCAGTATCTATAGCGCGTTGCGGACTCTCGCTTAACGGGCTTTTATCATGATCAATATGTGCTACGCTCTGTCATGCGAAGCGAACACAATAGAAAAAGAGTAAATAAAATTCAGTAATATCTAAAACTAAATTACCCCGCCTTCATGCGGTTCTTCAAGCGCATCTCATAATAACAGAAATGCCAGGCATCCTCTTTAGCATCATGATGATTCTGAACATCGCCACAGCGGCAGAAAATATATGTTGCTTAACGGGCTGTAGCGGCTCTGCTCTATACTATCATACAATCTATAAACCTTTGTTCAAAGGCACCGGGCTGTGCTTTTCACCTTTTTCGCAGACTTTTCCTTGACTACAGCCTTGGGCTAGCGAAGCTCCTTTTTAACCTTTCGTATTCATTGTGTTGAGATGTTGGGTCTGCCATCTTCCTTTGTTGTTTAACTTTACACTCAAACTCTCTTCCGTGCTTTTAATCTTTAGCAGGCTGTCCATTTATAATCACGCATTGACAAATTGACGAGTTACGTCAGTAGTATTCTGTAGGGTTATGACCTATGTAATCGCGTACTCCCGAAAACCACACATACTTTTCATCATAACATTACAATATAATAATAATATAGCTTTAAACTATAATATATCTACCAAATCAGTTACTTTTTAGCTCGTGCCAGTCTTTCACCTCGATGAGACATCAATTTTGAAGCAATGACGTGAGCAGGGTTTTTACGGTCATGTATCCGTACCTGTCAACCTCAGCGTGAATAGTTCCGGGGCGGATTAGAGATCAAGGATCAAAGCTGATAGCTTCGGTTTATACATTTGATCTGTTTCTGATACAAAACACACCGCTGAATGATATGACTCGCGTGATCTCGCCAGATCAGCCCGCTTACGTCCGATCTCGCAAAATGAAGCCGAGTTAGTATAAGCCGGATCGTGCGGTCGAGGTCCCACCGTAAGATCAGACTCCTTCCTCATTCTGGTCCATGCAAACCTGGATTAGCTGGTCAAAAGGGGGCAAATCGTGCAAGCACTAAGGCCGTGAGATTTTTATATATACTACATTGATAGCTGGCTGAGCTCCTTGTTCATTTGATCGACCCAAAAATCTCACAATTTGCCTACCTTGCGTATTTCACCGGATTCACAATGCCGGTGATCGAGGCTGCAACCTTGGAAAACGTGTCCACCATCACAGACACGTTTCTTGCTTGCTTCAATGATGAATATTTTGCCGAATTGTTCCCACCTACCGAAGTTGGTGTGAAATATCTTCATGATGCCTGGACTGCATTCATCAACGACGAGTCAGTAGGAGTATTCATGATCAAAGATGAGCAAGGTATAGATTTGACTTCTCTTCGCCCTCGCCTTTCTTGTCCTCTTTGTATTTGCCTGGAAATGGCTAAATCTATTTCAATAGGTAATGCCGCCTCTGTCATGTTGTTTTTTGAACAGCCCGGTGGAAAACCACCAACAAGTTGGACTGCGCGATGGCCAGGACCCCGAGAGGGAATGAATGGCCCGATGATGGAGGAATTTTTCCGCGACATGGACGGGCAACATCATATTCTCATGGGCGATAAACAGCATACTTGTCAGTATCCCAAGATAACGCAATCGCGGGTTTGCTAAAAAGCTAAAACATCGCAATGAGCACATAGATGTCGAACTAGTCTTGACACTTCCATCCCATCAGCGCCGAGGATACGCCACGAAGCTGATAAACCATGTTGTCGAGTTAGTTGGGGAGACACAGCCACTATACCTCGACTCACGCCCATACACGGTCAAGATTTATGAACAACTTGGCTTTGTTAGACAAGACTGCCAAATGGGGGGAGAAATGGTCCCTATGGTCAAGCCTCCAAGTCGGGTTGATTCTGTTTAGGCGGCAACATGGCATTTGCGAGGTGTTCGGACATTGTGAAACTGGCTGCGATGTCTGAAGAGTTTGTCGAGGCTGCCTAAATTCAGCGATGAGGATTTATGGTTCTAGATTCCATCAATTACATTCGAGATCTAGTGACACCTTTAGAAAAGAATTTGACTCTAGACCATAAAAACCAAGCCGGTCATCAAATGTCGGGATACTTGACCTGGTAAATCATGTCCGATTCCATAACATGGTCCTACCTTTCCCAATGTCCAAGAAAAACCCCAACAATGGCAGAATCCTGAGATTGCTGTTCCACCGATATCAACTCCAAAAAGCGCAGAAGAAGGCCAATAGTCTTGTTGACTGGGGAGGCTACTGTCGAGGCAACGCTCCCTCATAGGGCACCTTTAGGCGAATTGCGCAACAAAAAGTGACTTGATCTCATGTATTGCTTGTGATTTATGAACTCTGATCAGAGCTAAGGGGTCATAGATTCGCAGGCTTGGTTGGCAATATTCTGTGTATCTCTGCTAGCATGGATACCAATTGATTCGAGGTCACCGGTTGTGTTATCCAGCAATTCTGTAAGACACATCGCAACACTAGATATTCTAACTTGCAACATTAAAAAGCTAGATCCTGATGTCAGTATATCTAATTATAAATATAATAGTTATCCGTTATAGGAAAGCTGGATCTATTTTATTGGTCATGGTTGCACCAGGCTTTAATTAACTCACTGATGGAGTCGAGCCCAATTTTCTCTTTCAATAGTCTCATACTTCTTGGAAACGATTGGTCGCGCGGGAGGGAGGGAGGAATCAAAATAAGGCTTTCTTACATCATATCTACTTATCTTAGATAGGTGGGATACCTTATGGTTAACGAACTATTCATTAAGAGAACGAAATCATTCACTGCGGCAAGGTGCAGATGAAAATACCCAGAATAGAATGGGAAGGGCAGCCATCTGCCGTAATGGGATAAGGTGTATCTCCTTTCAGAACAGGCGACCCATATTTATTGAACAAAATCAATCATGCGGAAAGGATTCCTCTTCTTGGAGCCGTGCTGCGTCGTGAATGCCTTCATTATGGTAAGGCTATGGTCATCTTGGGTTATCCTACCCTATATAAGTACTAGAAATAGCATCCTATGGTGATGCAACATCTACGGTATGGGCCTTGGGTCGTATTGATCTACGAAAGGAAAATCGCATTATCTAAGGTTCGTCTGATGTAAGGTCAATGTGAGTCAGGAAAGGGGATATGAGAACTTTGGTTCTTATGGTGGTATTGGTATTGGGAGGGAGCCAATAAGGAGAATGTGCCTTGCCACGTCACTCCCATAATAGAATACGCTCAATAATTCCTCTGGGATTCGAGAAGGGGTGTACCAACAGAGTAAAAGCCGATTAGTGGTGCGGACAATTCTTTCCTCGGCATCTGTAGGTCAGCCTGCAGTAGACGCCGGTGAGGCCAAGCCGCCAGGCACAGGCTGCTATATTAGGAACGTTGCGCGAACACAAGCGTATTCCTGGTGGTGGGTTGCAAATCCGCTTCCAGCCGAATAGGGCACAGTGATAATCGTTCGACCTGCCATATCCGGGAAAAGCTGGCTCCCAACAGCTTCTAGTCTCGGAAGAGTCACGTTGCCCCCGCGTGAAATCAGTCATGCCAAGTCAAGTGCAATCAAAGGATTTGCCATGTTCCGGCTTGCCCCTTGCATGGTCAGCGGAGGCGCAGTACCCATGGGGTTCTTGGGTGTTACCACTCTGCAATTTCGCATGCACGATTCACACAGAGCTCGACCTCTTCGGCTTACGCGGCAATAACGGGACCTCTGGCTCGGGCACGAAAAAGACAACAGGCCGGCTGGAAATCAGCATGGAACCAACCGTAATTTTGGCACTCTGCAAGGCCACCAAAACGGCCGTTGGACGCCGGCTGGAACGAATCGACTCAGGGCCGTTGTGCGTACAGCGTTAAGGGAGTGCGGAGCCTCGCCTACAAAAGGATCATGGATTAGTGCGACCCCTGGTTTACCGTAATATCAAACAGGGCTATACGAGTTTGGCCAGGGCTAGACTCAGCATGGATAGCTCCACCGTCCTTATGTATGCCCTGCTCCGTCCCAACCGACAGCCGATTTGGGAGGCAAGGCATGGGATCGGGAACGGAGAATGGTTCGAGGCCGTTGAATAAGATGCACGCTCTTTCTCCTCCTTCCTTGGAGAGAGTTCTTGGTTCTGCTCCTCTTTATCCACGACGGCTTCATTGTCGATCAGTCCTTCGTTCAAGACCTTCACTCCTTTGTTGGGTCTGTAATTCTTTCTTCTGGTCACTCACTATCCAATACCATTAATTTACTTCAAACTCTCTCTTTAACCTTAATTTATTACACCGATTAACCGGACAATCATACAAAATGTTGTCCAAAACTTTGTTCGCCGCTCTTGCGCTCGTCGCATCGGCTTCAGCTCAGACCTACACGGACTGCGATCCCACCAAGAAGGGTATGTCTAGCCAAAATGAATCAACTGACTATTGAGTCGAATCATATACTAATATGCGTGTCTGAATAGAATGCCCTGCCGCGCCTGCTCTGGGTAACAAGAAGATCTCGTGCGACTACACCAAGAGCGACTGCTCCGACTTCACCAAGACCTACAACTTTGACTACTCTCTGAGCGCCGACAAGGGAGCCAAGTTCTCCATCGATACTCTGGGCCAGGCACCTACGATCGCAAGCAACAAGTGGATTTTCTTCGGTCGTATCGATGTTGTTTGCCAGGCCGCCCCTGGCGTCGGTGTTATTACCTCGGTTGTCCTCCAGTCCGCAGACTTGGATGAGGTCGATTTGGAGTGGGTTGGAGGAGACGACTACCATGTCCAGACCAACTACTTCGGAAAGGGTGATACTTCCAGCTGGGACCGTGGTGGCATCCACAATGTCAACTCCCCCGTGAAGACTTTCCACAAGTACTCCATCGACTGGACCTCTAAGAAGATTGACTGGCTTGTCGACGACGTCGTGATCCGCACTCTTAAGTACGCTGATGCTAAGGAGGGCACTCGCTTCCCTCAGACTCCCAGTCAGATCAAGATCGGCACATGGGTTGCTGGCTACGAGGGCAACAACCAGGGTACCATTGACTGGGCTGGTGGCATTGCTGATTTCAAGAAGGCTCCCTTCGATGCCTACTACAAGTCGGTCACTGTGACGGATTATGCCGGAGGCGACAGCGCTCCCTCTGAGAGCATCAAGGAGTACCAGTACACCGACAAGTCTGGCTCGTACCAGAGCATCAAGGTCGTCAAGGGCGAATCTGACACCTCCTCGTCTGCCTCGTCCTCTTCCGTCTCCAAGACCTCCGCTGCCTCTACTTCTTCCGCTTCCAAGACCTCGTCGTCTGCCGTTTCAACTACCGCCGGCGCTTCGTCTTCCTCTGCTGCCTCCTCCTCCGCCGTCTCTTCCGGCTCCTCCGCCGCTTCCTCCGCTGCTTCTTCTTCCAGCAGCGAGACCAAGGCTTCATCGTCCGGCTCAGGATCAGCTTCCTCGACCAAGGGCGGTCACTCCAGCGTTGGACAGGCTACTTCCTCGGCCGCCACCACACCTGGCAACACCACCCCTGCTTCCTCCGCACCCACTACTCCTGGCTCATCACCCACTGCTGGCTCATCAACCACTGCTGGATCTGTCACCGAGTCTGAGCAGCTGACTACGTCGACTGTCTACAGCACCGTCGTTCACACTGTTACCTCGTGCGCCCCCACCGTTACCAACTGCCCGGCCCGCTCGACCGTTCTTGTGACCGAGACTGTCCCCGTCTACACCACCGTCTGCCCTGTCACTGAGCTCCCTACCAAGTCTGACTCCAACGGCCCCAAGCCTACTGGATCCAACGGCTCTGGCCCCAAGCCCACCGACTCTACTGGTTCCAAGCCTACCGGCACTGGCTCAGGCAACGTCCCTGCCAGCAGCGATGTCCCAACCAGCACCCCCGCCCCCAACTGCGGACCTGGCTCCCCCAACTGCCACGTCCCTGGTGTCACCATCCCCTGGCCTCCTGCTTCTCCTTCTGCCCCTGCCACGGCTACCGCTACCGGCTCGCCATCTGGAGCTGTTTCCTCCAACTCTCCTAACCAGCCCATCTACCCTACCGGTACCTTCATCACCACCACCGCTGCTCCCTCCCACCCCGCCAATGGCACAAGCATCTCTTCGCCCGCCATCCCCACGACGTCCATCCCCACTGCCGGAGCTGCCCGCTTCGTTGGTGGTGCCGGTGTTGCCGCTGGATTTGCCGCTCTCGCAGCCATGCTCCTGTGAGTAGAATGACTAGTTTTTGGATGAAATGGGAGAGGTTCCCTGTACAATCTCGTTGACGTATTTGGTGGCATGGAAACATGGGATACACAAGTAATAATAAAAGATTTTGATTGATTTCACAATATTCCCTGGTTCTCAATCACTGGATCAATGCCATGTACTGCTAGACTGTAGGACACGTCAACACAACTTGACAGCGACTTCGGACTTATTGTCCTCGTAGCGAAGGTTAGACTAGCCGAATGCTACCGAATCCATCGAGATAACCTTCGTTTAGATCCTCTGCCAATCAGCGCTAATCGATGTTGACAAAGGGCGGAAACCAGTCTCGTGATGCCGATGATAACCTTCTGGGACCGCGTGAATGCGCTAGAAAACCCCCTCCCCCCGCATCATGCCTTATCATGTTGACACAAGGCGTGGCGATTTACTCAGTGGCGTTGTCGAGATTATGCGGGGTCGTGTCGAGGCAGGGCGGAAGCTAAGATGTTGCTAGCCCATGTCACGATGGTTCTCGACGCTCGGATAGAGCTGGTGCATGAGGCGTATCTCTGGCTTTGTAAATGTCACACTCTTATTGGCTTGAGATACGTAATTCTATGCCATTTCCCCAGATTCCCAAAAAGCAAAAATGGGTCACATGGATCAAGTTGTCCCGGAAGCTTTGTGAAGGGAAGGTAACAAGGCGGAAACACTTGATAGTAGGGAGTCAATGATACTTCCGGAAAATATCTATTTAATCATCGACTACCTCCCTCCTCAAAATTCAAAATGCTATTGAGCAAGCCACTATAACTACAACAGACAATCTTCATCAGACCAGTCTTATTCATCCCAGCTCACATGTCGTCCGTCGAGACTCTCTTCCCTCACCTCCGGAAGGATCCATCAGACCTTCCGGAGGGCGAGGACCCTTTCACCATCACTACTCGCAACGGATACTTGCCCTTCAACTTGCCTTTGAGAACATTGCCAAGTGCATTTGACGCCCTTACGGATATTCTCCACCAGATGCCCATTCTAAAGGAGGATGGAAACGCGGGGTTGCTCGCTACCTTCGAGCTCGGGCCCCTTATTGACAATGGCGCTCTGCCTGATCTCACTCATGAGATCGATAATCTACTTATTCCAGGCACAAATAAGCGTGACATTGCGGCCGTTACCGCAGCCTTCCGCGACTACAGCTTTGTCGCCTCGTCCTATCTTCTTGAGCCCTGTTGGGAGACATACAGCGCCAACAAAGACAATGGGTACGGTCTAGGGCGCCCGGTTCTGCCGATATGCATCGCGGGGCCGCTGGCCAAATGTGCTGAAATGTGAGTTTGCGTGATGCATCGCTCGGCTCCGAAACACTTTAGTTAACTGGTTGGTACAGTCTCGATATCCCTCCCTTCATGTCTTACGCCGCCTCTTATGCCCTCTACAATTACTACCTCGTCCATCCTGAACAAGGCCACAAGGACTACGAAAACCTGCGTCTCGTCCGTGCTTTCGAAAAAGGACTCGACCCCAAGTCTTCCGAGGCAGGCTTCATCTTGACCCATATTCATATGGTGGCGGAAACAGGCGGTCTCATCGAAGGCGCGGTCAATCTCCTATCGGCGATTGATTCCAAGCCTTATTCTATCGATCGAGAAATGGATGACATTTCCGCCGCCAAGAAAGGTCTCCAGCTCATTCTAGACGCCATGCAAATCATCGAGACAAACATGGAGAGCATGTGGAAGAATTCTCTTCCCAAAGATTACATGGCATATCGGACCTTCATCTACGGAATTACAAAACAATCCATGTTCCCTGATGGGGTTGTTTACGAGGGTCAGTTTGATAACAAGCCACAATTCTTCCGTGGCGAATCCGGGGCAAACGACGCGATAATTCCTCTTTTGGACCATCTTTGCGAAATCCCCATGCCACCCAACCCTCTGACTGATATCCTGGTCGAGTTCCGTGAATATCGGCCGAAGCCTCATCGAGAATTTCTCAAATATGTCCGCGAAACATCATCGCGGCTGGGTGTGCGTCGGTTCATGACTGGCTCTGGTGACATGGAGCTTGTGATCCAGTACCTCCGGGTCCTTGACCATATTCGCAGTTTCCGATGGAGGCACTGGATGTTTACTCGCGAGTACATCATCAAATACACGCTTCATCCCACAGCCACTGGCGGCAGCCCAATCATCACTTGGCTACCTAACCAGCTGGACGCCGTTATGGAGCTGATGGAGAAGGTGACGCAAGACTCTGGGCTTTCGATTATTCTAGAGGCCGAAGCGTGGAGTGAGAAGCTGCCTCTCTCCGAAGCAGATTTCATCATGGCTAGGAACATCATGAGCAACGTTGTGACCAAGAAGGCCCAACTGCGAAAGGAGGTGGCAAAGTATTGCCAAGATCGGAACCTGGCATGAGGAGTATTTTTAGCATTTTATTGGCGAGCGGTCCTTATCTTAAATATTAGCTAGGAGGACGAAAAAGACCACGTCTAAACGAATCCTGTGTCCCAATTCAAAAGAAAACTGCTCTGCACTCATTCCATTAATATTATATCAACCATCTATCTACTTCCTTGCCTTGGTGAACCTTTTTCAATTGACTAATGCTGCCTCCATCCGAGCATCTATCAAAACTAGGAGCGCATTCTTGTTGTTTGCTCATGGAATAAGGTCCGCTGAAGCGTACATAAGATGCTAAACAACATGAAGGCTGCGACACGTATATTTTTCTTTGACTAGTCTAAAAGAATCATGAACGTTCATACATGAATATTTATGCTGTGATCTTAATACGTAATTCGTTTTTACCAAGTGAAACAATACGTGAGAAAATGTGCTCATCAGTGTGTGTGGTATAGGGTAGCGAAAAGCGGCCCTCAATGTGTTGACATTTGATCCTCTGTCGCGCATATTATTTCAGGTCATTCCCATGGTGGAAGTATCGTCGGAAGTTGCATTAATGACAAGTTTTAACCCGCCAGCCCAAGGGATTTTTGTTTTCGGCCTGCATACTTGTTGGGCTGATGCGGAAGGTTGGGCCACAATTGCACGTTGCACAGAGCCACTGATTTGCAGGAGTGTAACGGTGCCGGTGCCGGGATTGGACAGGCTGTATTCCGGGCTGGAACAAGCTTATTCTCGTGCTGGGGGAGTTACGTCATGGCTGAGAGAACTAATGCATGTCTCGGGGACCCAGGCTTCGTTCCATGGCCTTTATAGGACGGAATGTTACCTCAGAGATTCACACCGGCATTAGCTGACGGGGCTAGAACACGCTGGATGGTGCCAAGCTTCAGAGATTGGCCACCACTCGGAAGACAGAGAGGGTTTGTCTTAGGTCGGTGTTCACTTACGTGCTAGTTTGGAGGATCTATAAGCCTTAATAACTCATTAGATAAGCCATTCCAAAGGCTGGGCAACAGCGGGCAGTCCGAATTTAAATACTCATGACGCCCTGATGAGACAGGCCCAGGTTCGACAGATGCATTTCCCCTCACCCTTGGAACAATGAAGTCCCCGATTCCCGATTACCTCAACCAGGTGCTTGAGAATGCCCGGCCCAGCGAGTCTGGGGCTCCGGCCGACTACATCGAGACGCTGGCCAATGCCGATACGTCTCGGATAGCGGTCGCCCTGGCCATGGTAGACGGCCAGATCTACTCAGCTGGGGACGACCAGGTTGAGTTTTCCATCCAGTCCATCTCCAAAGCCTTCGTCTATGCCATTGCAATCGAAGATGCCGGCCTAAAACGCGTGCTTGAGAAGATCGGCGTGGAACCATCCGGAGACGCGTTCAACAAGCTGTCGCTCGAGCGGGGTAGCAACCGGCCGATGAACCCCATGATCAACGCCGGGGCCATCACGGCGCATTCTCTCGTCGCGGGGCCGGATGCGACAGCTAAGCAGAGGACTGACCGCATCTTGGAAATTCTCTCCAAGCTGGCAGGCAGGCAGCTACAGGTGGACGAGGAGGTGTATCAAGCGGAGCTGAGAGACGCGGATCGCAACATGGGCATCGGCTATATGCTCAAGGCTGCTGGCGTCATCAATGGCGACCCGCGCGAGGCCGTCACAGGTTATATTCGTCAATGTTCCATCAATGTTAATGTCCGCGACTTGGCAATGATGGCCGCGACACTTTGCAATGCGGGTATCCATCCTGTCACTGGGGAGTCTATTATCCCCCAAACAAGTGTCAGACAGGTCTTGTCCGTCATGACCACTTGCGGCATGTACGACGCCGCGGGAGACTGGGTTTCCAACATTGGCATTCCTGCCAAGAGTGGTGTGGCTGGAGGCATCATCGGAGCATTGCCTGGCCAGGTCGGCATCGCCACCTTCTCCCCCAAGCTGGATGAGCGAGGTAACAGCGTGCGAGGTGTGGTTATATGTGAGAAGCTGTCCCGGGATATGGGGCTGCACATGATGGACGTCAGCCAAATCGCCGTAGCGACTGTACGCACATTTGCGGCCACCATAGTTGCCGGTGAGAAGGAACCTCATCACCCCAACTGCAACCAGGAGGTAGCCGTCTTCAGTATGCGAGGTAATGTTCGCTTTGCGGGCTCGGAGCGTCTTACCCGCGCACTTGCTCGCGAACTCGGGACTCCAAACCCCGACGATCCTGGTTCTGGCCGCTACCACAAAGTCTGCGCTATTGTTTTCTCATTCCGGGACGTCTTTTCCTTCAATGCAGTCGCTCGGCGGATTGTCCAAGAAGATATTTATCGCCTGCTGGTGGAAACGAAGAGCGTGGTAGTCATCGACCCCACTGGTGTTTTGCAAATAGATGAAGATCGTGCAGGGGACAAGCTACGGATTGTCAAGACCGAGACCGAAGCCCGAGAGTTTATTGGAGGAACTGGATGCCAAACTGTGGTTAAGACCGATAACTGGTAGTGGTTGCGTTGACTCGAAGACGCATTTGCTTGCGGATTAATTCATATGTAGACGAATTTACGATACCACCGATGTCTCTCTTTCAATCATGCTGATGTGCTTTGTGGT